TGTATTGTTGGAAAAAGAGCAAAGTTCGACAACAAAACCATTTTTTAGCCAAACTCAACATCTAAGTCCCATAATTTTGCATGTCGAATATCTGTTGTTTTCCGCCTACTGTGGAGTTGGTGCCAATGAAGCAGATCTTTTGGAAATTTTGTGAAATTAATTAAAACTGTAAGTTTCATTGAGAAAATCAACATAATAAAAGACTTGAAGCTCTTACAAGATTAAGGGTTGTGAAAAGTGACACTAACGATTATAATAAACTGCGATTGATAGTTGATTATGTTAACACTATGCTCGGACACATTACGTCGAATGCACATATTTATCAGAAATACACAATGATTTTACAGTCACAGGTTTATGTAGGCATGTCACGGAGCATGTCCAAAATAATTATAAGTAGGAGTAGAAGTAGAAGAAACAAAAGAGGAATATGAGAATGAATAAATAATAAAAAAAGAACAGAAGAAGTGGCAGGAAACGAATAGGAAATAGTGCAATGTTAATAAGCTGATATAGAAGTAGAAGTTGTAGAAATAATTTGATCAATTTGATCAATGTTTTTCTATCTTATAAAGAGCAGCAAAAAAGTAGCTTATCACAGAAAAGCATACACTAAGTCTACGTGTGGTACCATAATTTTACATATGCAGCTTTAGAGAACTGAAATTCTTACTTTCAGTCATTTAGATTTTATGTATTCAGAAAAAATATATCAAAGCAATTTAAGTGATAACAAGAGCCATGTCAACATGGCCATCCCCCGCCGAATGTGTTTGCTCATTGGAAGAATGTATATGTAGTAGAACAGAATAATTCTATTTTAAGAGGTCTTTTGGTAATGAAAACTGATGGCTATAGTGATTACAGATTTGAAACCTATATGAATACTGATGGCTGAAAATAACAAAGGGCAATAACTGAAAAATAATGCAGGGTAGGTTATCATTCTTGTGTGCTGCATCCCTCATCAGTAAAATCTATCCACCTATGAAGTTTCAAGTTGATACCTCTGTAACGTTTTGACATTTTTACCAAGCTAGATTTTATTAAAGATTATCGTTTGCTGAAATGATTTTAGTGTAACTTTACTATTATGTTAATTGTTTATGTTGCGACAATGTATTTTAGTTTACGGTACTTTACAATATACGTTTAGTATACGTATTTTCAATAAACGTTTTATATCATATAATATAATAATCGTCTCAGTGATAGTGATCATTCTAATCAGCCAATGAAAATTAAGTCATGCTTGAGCGATCATCTCAGCAGGTATAAATACGGCGATTAGATCAAAATTATTCAGTCTGCAGAGGAATTCACCGGGACCAGGTTATTCTGTGTAACTGAAGCCTCGCTTCATACATTGAGGATAATTTCGTTCACCTAACTGAAGCCTAGCTTCATAGGTAGAAAAGAAGAATTGGCCAAAACTAAATACTCTTGTTTATCCAATTGAAGCCTAGCTTCATGGATGTAGATGTAATATATTAAAGTTTGTGAATTGCATTTGACTCTGGGTACTTATAGATCTCCACATTTTCTGAAAGCCTCGCTATCAGGGAATTGGTAACATATAGGTATTAAAAATCCAGAGGTAGATTTAAAACGAATTAGATTTGTATAGTTGGAACTTTGTTATAGATCCCTACCAGCAGCTTATCTTCCTATCTAATAGAAGCCTCGCTTCATAGATAGGGAGGTGGTTGCTGGACTATAGGAAATTATCGGGTTGCAGCGTCATATCTATAGCTTTTGAATTATTTCATTGTGTTATAATTACAGTATTGTGACTTTTGATAATTTAATAGTGTATTACGGAATGTTAATTCAAGCTGATTGTTTATAATATTTGATCATTTAAGAATCATTTGTATCTAATCAAACGGCAGGTAGCCCAAAGAAAAATTTATTATACATATCTAAATATTCGCTCGGTACACGTTACAAAAATTGGTGGCAGCGACGGTGGGATTATATAGATAAAAACACCATTATCTAGACTCACAGGTTAAAATTTCGTTAAAAATGGCTGAGAGTAAAGATTATATAGTTATGAGAATGAGCTTACATTGTTACATGAAAAACTTAGAGAACTTCAGCACCAAAATGAAGCTTTGAAATTGCAAAATGAGATATCGGTACTTGAAAGGCAGATAGACAGTATGCAGTTATCTTTTCAAAATCAATATGACTCAAACTATGAAGGCAAACAAACGTCAACACCTAAATTTTTAACAAGACAATATGCAGCACCTCTATCAGAAAGAAGGCGACGGTTATTACCACCGACTCCAGATAAAAAGCCCTTTGAAATAGAACGTGACCCTATAAACTCAAATTCAAAACGAAGTGTTATGATGAAGCCAGCTACGTATGATGGAACTAGCTCATGGATAGATTATAAAGCGCATTTTGAAGCATGTTCAGAAATTAATCGATGGACAAACAAAGAAAAAGGTCTTTATTTATCTGTTTTATTAAGAGGTCAAGCTCAGGGTGTATTTGGCAATCTGACAAGCAAATCACCGAATTATGATGAACTTGTATTAGCATTACAAGAAAGGTTTTCACCACCCAATCAAACTGAATTATATAGAGCTCAACTAAGAGAAAGAAGACAAAAAGCTACAGAATCTTTATCTGAGATGGGGCAGGACATAAGACGTTTGACTAATTTAGCATACCCTTCAGCACCATCAGATGTGAAAGAGACTTTAGCGAAGGAACAATTTATAGATTCTTTGGTTAACTCGGATATGAGGCTTAGAATTAAACAAGCTCGTCCTACTAGCTTGAATGAAGCAGTAAGACACGCTGTTGAGCTTGAGGCTTTCAACAGAGCAGAACAAAAGTCCTATGAAACCCGTGGTTATATGAGAAAGTTAAATTCTGATCAGTATGAGTTTCTGAAAAGTGAAGATGACAAATTAGATAGCCTGACAAAATTAGTAGAGGAAATGAAGAATATGTTATTTATGTTTAGACGCCAAAATAACTATCAAACATTTGATAAAAGAAACCGAAATACTTCAAAGCAAAAGCAGAATAATAGAACGTCTTCAAGAACATTTGCTAATGAGCCAAATACAAATAGTTTGAATTGTTATGAGTGTGGTAAGAAAGGTCATAATAAATACAATTGTCGAAAGTTCAGTGGCAGATCGAAACGAAAAATTAATCTGTTGGAGAAAGATTGTGAAAACTCGTCTAATTCGTGTGGTTCCGGGTTATTTGTTGAAGCTACAATAAATGGCATTAAAGCTAATTGTTTAATTGATACTGGTGCAACATTTTCAATTATTTCTTCAAGTTTTATAGATAGATGTCAGTTTCCAGTAAGTTTAGAACCGTTTGGTACAAACATTGTAAATGCATCTGGAAAACCTTTAGAAATAAAAGGAAGAACACATTTAGATATTAAATTGAATGATAGAATTTCAACAAATCCTTTCATAGTTTCTGACATAGAGGGAGATGCAATATTAGGATTAGATTTTATGACAGCAAGAAATATTGTAATAGATGTTCCAAATAATCAGTTAACAGCCAATGGTAAAAAGATGAAAATAAATTGTAAAGGTCCGATTGGTTGTAACCGCGTGATTTGTCATTTTTGTGGAATGAAATTTAAAAAGAAAGCTTATATAAGACAGCACTGTAGAAGAATACATAGTTCTGGAATATAAATATAAATGAGATTCGGAGTGTGTGTATGCCAAATCTAATTGTTTGAGGCAGCTTAAAACATATTTTGTAAGTTCATGCGGGGCGCATGTAAAACGGAGGCGTGGGTAGTGTAACGTTTTGACATTTTTACCAAGCTAGATTTTATTAAAGATTATCGTTTGCTGAAATGATTTTAGTGTAACTTTACTATTATGTTAATTGTTTATGTTGCGACAATGTATTTTAGTTTACGGTACTTTACAATATACGTTTGGTATACGTATTTTCAATGAACGTATGAAATCATATAATATAATAATCGTCTCAGTGATAGTGATCATTCTAATCAGCCAATGAAAATTAAGTCATGCTTGAGCGATCATCTCAGCAGGTATAAATACGGCGATTAGATCAAAATTATTCAGTCTGCAGAAAAATTCACCGGGACCAGGTTATTCTGTGTAACTGAAGCCTCGCTTCATACATTGAGGATAATTTCGTTCACCTAACTGAAGCCTAGCTTCATAGGTAGAAAAGAAGAATTGGCCAAAACTAAATACTCTTGTTTATCCAATTGAAGCCTAGCTTCATGGATGTAGATGTAATATATTAAAGTTTGTGAATTGCATTTGACTCTGGGTACTTATAGATCTCCACATTTTCTGAAAGCCTCGCTATCAGGGAATTGGTAACATATAGGTATTAAAAATCCAGAGGTAGATTTAAAACGAATTAGATTTGTATAGTTGGAACTTTGTTATAGATCCCTACCAGCAGCTTATCTTCCTATCTAATAGAAGCCTCGCTTCATAGATAGGGAGGTGGTTGCTGGACTATAGGAAATTATCGGGTTGCAGCGTCATATCTATAGCTTTTGAATTATTTCATTGTGTTATAATTACAGTATTGTGACTTTTGATAATTTAATAGTGTATTACGGAATGTTAATTCAAGCTGATTGTTTATAATATTTGATCATTTAAGAATCATTTGTATCTAATCAAACGGCAGGTAGCCCAAAGAAAAATTTATTATGCATATCTAAATATTCGCTCGGTACACGTTACACCTCAAATACTTTTTGAGAAAAAAATTGAATTGAAAAATTAAGTATGAAAAATAACAAAGGGCAATAACTCAAAAATTATAAAAGGTAGAGTTACCATTCCTGTGCAGTGCACACCTCCTGAGTGAGATCTATGCACCTATGAAGTTTCATTTTGATATCTCAAAGGCTTTTTGAGTTATGCTCTGGACAAAAATCAATTTTGAAAAATAACAAAGGGCAATAACTCAAAAATCATGCAAGGTAGAGTTATCATTCTTGTGCACAGCACTCCTCCTCAATGAGGTCTATCCACATATAACATTCCTCCTCAATAAGATCTATCCACCTATGACATTTCATGTTGATATCTCAAACACTTTTTGAGTTATGCTCCACTCAGGTGAAAAATTAGGTATGAAAAATAACAAAGGGCAATAACTCAAAAATTATGAAAGGTAGAGTTATCATTCATGTGCACTGCACACCTCCTGAGTGAGATCTATGCACCTATGAAGTTTCATGTTAATATCTCATAGGATTTTGGAGTTATGCTCTGGACAAAAATCAATTTTGAAAAATAACAAAGGGCAATAACTCAAAAATCATGCAAGGTAGAGTTATCATTCTTGTGCACTGCACTCCTCCTCAATGTGGTCTATCCACCTATGAAGTTTCAAGTTGATAACTCAAATACTTTTAGAGATATGCTCCGGACAAAAATGTCGGACGGAAGGACGGACGGACGGACGGAAGGTCGGACGGACGGACGGAGACTATTTCTATATCCTCCGCCGAAAATTTTCGGCTGGGGATAATAAACTGGCCACAACTTATTTACAGTTTTGCTCATACCAATAAATGAATAAGACACTTTATTTTATGTCTTTTTATAGTCCTATAGCAAACTTTACTGATCTACCGTCACGCATGGAAACAAATGAATGCAATAGGAACATATGCGTATTGGTAAACTATCATAATTAGTTTACCACTGTCGGAATAGATTTATACAAACTTTTAAGATATAATAAGCATGTAACGCATGTGATATTTACAGAGAAAACCGGGTGCATATTATGCTTGTGTCGGATACGATCAATATCTAAAGTGAAAGTTACAGTGGTTTGTTTTATAAAATGGCGGAGTCTATAGAAGACGATTCAAAACCATTTTACAATCAATTGTTTCAGTTATTAAAATCGGTACCGACAACAGAGAGTGTGGCTGAAGAAAAAAGTGATCTTCACAGAGCCGCCGTTAAAGGTGACATAGAACTGTTAAAACAGACTCTGTCTTCTGGACAATGTGAAATTAATCTTCAGGATGACTGGGACCATACCGCCTTATTTACAGCTGTGCAAAAAGGTCACGGCGAAATAGCAAACATACTTATTTCACACGGAGCAAATATAAATGCGGATAGTAATGAATCATTAAAGGATAGTAATCCATTGCATTGTGTTCGTGATGTAAACATTGCGAAGGATCTTCTGAAGGCTGGTGGGGATGTTAATGCAATCAATCTAAAGGGTGACACACCTTTACACAGAGCCGTGATGAGGGAGGATTTACCAATAATATCATTTTTGTTAGAACATGACGCTGATGTGAACCTACAGAATTATGAGGGTTGGTCCGCCTTACATACTTGCTGTTATCCATCAGGTAGTGAAACTATGGTGACAGCTATAAAATATATAATTTCACACGGGGGCAATGTGAACTTGCATGACCACTTTGAAATGACACCACTCCACCAACTTGCTAGAGGATCTGCAACGAATTTGGCAGTGAAGACGCTTGTTTCGGCAGGATCAGATTTGCACGTCAAAGATTATCGTGGAAACTGTCCAGTCCATTACTTCCGCTCCTTTACAGCTGACGAAGAGGAGAACTTTATTGAAACTCTGAAAGAATTTATTGTGTCAACAGAAACGGCTAATGTTAGAGATTTCAGAGGTCAAACCCCTCTTCATATAAATACAGATACATCTGCTAAAGTAATTGATAAACTAATACATCTGGGTTGTCAAGTAAACGCTCGTGACCACCAAGGAAAGACAGCTCTACATGTTGCGTCTGGTCTACAAGATAGACAAGATATCATACAGCAACTTTTAAAAACTGGACAAAATGTAAATGTAAAGGATAACATGGGAAGAACATCTTTACATGAGGCAGCAAAAGCAAGCAACCACGTAATAGCACAGTTATTGATATCCTATAATGCCGAGCCAAATGCGCGGGACATCTGCGGATGCACACCTCTTCACGAAGCTGCTTTAAAGCAAGATGCTAGAACAGTAGACATCCTCTTAAAGAGTGGTGCAGTTATTAACATCACAGACATAAACTTGTCGACTCCTCTCCACTTTGCAGCATGGGAGGATAGTGAAAAGTCGGCAGAGTTTCTACTAGCTAATGGTGCAAATATCAACTTAAAAGATAATCTTGGTCATACACCTTTGGATATAGCACAACTAAGAAGAGCAGTAAATGTAGCCGGCTTACTGACTTGCAGCGATCATAAAAGTGAGGCCAAGAATAAGGTAGAAAAAAATGAAAATATGTTTGCACTTTCAAATTGTGGAGGTCAATATCTTTCATTTAACACTGTTTCAAAGACAATTGAAGAAAATGAGATTACGAGAAAGGATCAGATGGAAGTTCAACCATTTCTAAGACTTATATTACAATCACCTGATGTAGGAAGAGGTTGCGATGAAGCCGAGGCTAGAGAAATTCAATTGGCAATGGAAGAGCTAGTGCAAACTTTGGCTGAAAGAATTGGAAAAACCGACTGGAGATTTCGATGTTCGCTGCTTCATGCAGGGAGTATGTCAGAAGGAACTAAAACACGATGTCCAGATGAGTTTGATTTCATATTTGTTTTGGAAGAGTTCAGTAAGCACTGTTATCCTGTCTTTTTAGACATTGATAGCGAAACGCTCACCGGTCTTCATATACCATCAAATATGACTGGAAGGAGAGATTTGCCGGCTGAAACTGTTAAACTAGAAGACCGACCAAGCACAGTGGAACGGACATTATCAGTGTCGGTATCAGATTACGCTAATATAACAATTAACAATACAGAAGAATCTGAACCTTTTGCTAAGTTTGCTGGATCGACTATCATGCCGGTATATAAGATGTATGATGGTTTTGCGCAACTTATCACAAAAGTATTATTTCATGAAACTTTCCCGAAGAACCCAAAGTTAACAGTCATTGAGACAACTCTAGATCCAGCCATGAAACTTTGTTGGAGAGGATGCAGATACAAAGATTTAGAAATAGACGTTGATTTGGTACCTGCAATTGTTCTTCAAGAATGGCCCGAACAGTTCAAAAAGGATAACATCCTTCTGACACCGGATATCCTGAGATTACCAAGCCTTGTTGTGCCTAAAATGACAGCAGGGACAGATGAAGATTTGTGGAGGTGTTCACTTGCTCCTGAAGAATCAGCTATCTTTAGGAAATTGAAACCAGCCATAAGGAACAGCTATGTGGCATGTAAAGCACTTATCTGCTCACACGTTTGTCCTCAAATTAGCTTTGATGGGAATGAGGAAGTAATGAGTTTTTATAGAATGGAACACGACAGTCTTTCTTCTGAAGAAAGTATTGAAGTTTTTGAAAACGCCGAGCATATTGTTCCTTCTTACATGCTAAAAATGACTTTCTTTGCTGCTATTGCAAGCAAAGCTGAAAACGAGGGAATACAAAATGTTTACATGGATGATAGTGACCGATCAGGAAGCTTGGACAGTGGGAATACAGAAAACCCCAAAGAAACAAGTGTTTATGGTCCTGCAAAGGAGATGTACGTGGCAGAGAAATTTGATGACTTGGATGTTCCACTTGTGCTTGATGTTTTCAAAAGATGTGCAGAATGCATTGATAAACGATTTGTGCCATCCTTCTTCAATCCAAAACATAATGTATTAGGTGCACGAGTAATGGAAGGTGATTTAGAAAAAGTTGCAGTATTTATAACTTTCATTCAGAGATTATTAGCCTAGTAAAGGTGTTGTTAATGCCAGTTTCAAATAAAGTTTTACAATTAAGACCAACTTAAATACATTTTGTAAATGAACACTTTTCATAATTTTTTTAATAAGTAATAAGATTACTAGCAATATCTGACATTCATTTTAATTACCACATTAGAAAACAAATTCCATCAATGATATCCCAGCCAAATAAATAATTTGATAAAAGTTTAAGAGCAATCGTAAGCTTGTTACAGACAAATAGATTTAAAGGCATTTTCTACATAAATCAGTGTTATCTATGTGACTATTTTGACAGTACTAATTATAACATGTTATGTAGAGTGACTCGCTACACAATGCTACATACCAAATATATGAGCTCTGGCATTGTAATTTCTGACTAAGAGATTTTAAAAAATCTAGTCTTCTTCAGTCTGTTCATTATCCAAACTGAAAGAAAGGAAGACCATCTGACAAATAGTTTGGTGAAGTTTGGTTAAAATCTACGACGAAATTTGCGAGGAGATCTGATCACAAATTAAAGGAATGCAAGTACAATCTTGAGCTCTTTTTAGTGAGACTTTAAACTTGAATCAGGCTAATAAGTGCTTTATATGTACGCATAAAGCTTTCTAAAATGAGCCGTGTCACAACAAAACCAACATAATGAGTTTGCGACCAGCATGGATCCAGACCAGCCTGCGCATCCGCGCAGTCTGATCAGGATCCAAGCTGTTCGCTTACAAAGTCTATAACAAGTAGAGAAACTGATAGCGTACAGCATGGATCCTGATCTGACTGCACAGATGCGCAGACTGGTCTTGATCCATGCTGGTCGCAAACCCATTATGTTGGTTTTGTCATGACACGGCTCAAATGTAGAACTTAAGTACTCATGGTCTTACCCAGCAAAGAATAAAATGACTATTAGTATTTGCACATCCTCAGAAAATCACCTGTTTAGGTGTTTGATGGGTATAAACATAAGTAGATCAAATACTTTGTGAAAGAATGTTTATATTTGCATTACATAACCATATCAATATGCATATACAAAATGTATATTTATATCTATACAATAATAAATAAATTTATGTAATAATGCTAATTTTTTTATAATCAAACCTAAATGCAGTGAGCAACTATAGCTGTTTAAGACGTTTAATTTTTTCTTATGATTGTCTTACTTAGTTTTTGTATATTTGCATAATAACAGACCTTAAAAGAAATGGCAAAATAAATGCTTTTGAAGACGGAATAGACTGATTTAGAAGACAGTTTATACGGAATAGACTGCTTTTGAAGACAGTTTATACAGAATAGACTGCTTTTGATGACAGTTTATACGGAATAGACTGTTTTTGAAGGCAGTTTATATGGAATAGACTGCTTTTGATGACAGTTTATACAGAATAGACTGTTTTTGAAGGCAGTTTATATGGAATAGACTGCTTTTGATGACAGTTTATACGGAATAGACTGCTTTTGAAGACAGTTTATACAGAATAGACTGCTTTTGATGACAGTTTATACGGAATAGACTGTTTTTTGAAGGCAGTTTATATGGAATAGACTGCTTTTGATGACAGTTTATACGAAATAGACTGCTTTTGAAGACAGTTTATACGGAATAGACTGCTTTTGATGACAGTTTATACGGAATAGACTGTTTTTGAAGGCAGTTTATATGGAATAGACTGCTTTTGATGACAGTTTATACGAAATAGACTGCTTTTGAAGGCAGTTTATATGGAATAGACACCTTTTGAAGACAGTTTATATGGAACAGACTGCTTTTTATGACAGTTTATATGGAATAGACTGCTTTTTATGACAGTTTATACGAAATAGACTGTCAGAAATCTTCAAATTTAGGCCTTTCCAATGGAGAAAAAAGTAAGTCAAAGACTAAATAGAATGCAAACCATCCTTTTTAGTTGTCAACTTGCTTAAAACATTTATAACATAGGATATTACAATTATGAATATACATTTCATAGAGACATGCCATTTTTGAAATAAATATTTAATGCATGACCGAAATCCAACAATATTTTCCATTTACAGTTTTGAAATGAAATGAGGATATCATTATCAATATGCCTTTAATAATACACACACTTTCTACATGATTGGAAAAACCCTGATATGTTTAATGATTTTTGTTTTACATATTATACCTATCTTTCAAAAGATTTTGTACAAATTTTGTGTCATACTTGTATATTACAAAGAAGTTTAAAGTAAACTCATCCTCGATATCTAACAAATAATAATGTAGGCAATTTACATTTTTATATCTTTAAAAATTAAAATTTTATTTGTAAGCTATGCGATTATAATATATGAATATATTAAAATGTCCAAATCAAAATACTCGATGCTGTATTAAACAAAAATTAATATTTATTATTCCCATACAAAGTGTTTACACTGAATCAAATTAATTAAAAACTTGATTAAAGCTGTAAGTCTAGAAGGTAAGCTAGGAAAACATATCATTATAATGAGCTTAACTGGTTCTTTTTGAACAAGTGCTGCGATACAATCCATTCATTACCACCAGAATAACCGAAAACTTCCGAACAAAATATAAAAAACAGTCTCCAGTTAAACAGTTGCTGATCGGCATCTTTTCCGTAAGCTTTCTGCAAAATCTTCATCACTTTGTCTTTATTCTGGTCCAATCTCTCTAGCCATGCTTCTAATGTCTTACTATAGTTTGTCCCGTTGACGATCCAGTAATCCTCTATTCTAACCCCATTCTGTAATCACAACAAAAATCCAAATGAAATGATAAATTTACAGAAGGCCCTACGATAATGTTGTTAGCAACTGTTGGCCCAACTGTTTTGTACGTACACTTGATTATGTTTGTGAAATTGTATATTGTGTGTATATTTATACAATAAAATAATATTAAACTTAATATATTTAGACAAGTTTACATAACACATGGTTTTCCCTAGGAATTAGTGACAGAAGACATATGTCTACCCAGATATTTTTCAGTGCTAGGTTTCTATTTCAAAGACAGCCAACAAGGTTTACAGTTATCTTTTTTAAACCACCAGGCCACAGTTGCCTCATATAAATTTTCATAAAACAAGAACTGTCGGAGGACAGTAACGCTTGACTATTCAAAAATTTGTCACAAGGGTGTTTCATTGAGTATAATAATGCTTACCTATATGAATACATAAAATTGTCCGAAAAGGTACAAACCCTTCAAGTTTCAATACATTCCCTTCAGTAGTTATGGAGATACAAGCATACACAAAAACTTAACCAAGAATTTATGAATTGAATAAGGGGGATAATTATGCGAAAAAGTAAATCAGAGTTATGGGACTTGTGCCAATCATCTTAGATAATCACAGACAACAAGTGTGTGAAGTTTCAATCCATTCCCTTCAGTAGTTATGGAGATACCAGCTTACACGCAAAAACTTAACCAAGAATTTCTAAGTCGAAAAAGGGGCATAATTATGTAAAAAAGCAAATCAGAGTTATGGCACTTGTGCCAATCATCTTAGATAATCACAGAGAACAAGTGTGTGAAGTTTCAATCCATTCCCTTCAGTAGTTATGGAGATACCAGCTTACACGCAAAAACTTAACCAAGAATTTCTAAGTCGAAAAAGGGGCATAATTATGTAAAAAAGCAAACCAGAGTTAAGGGACTTGTGCCAATCATCTTAGATAATCACAGACAACAAGTGTGTGAAGTTTCAATCCATTCCCTTCAGTAGTTATGGAGATACCAGCTTACACGCAAAAACTTAACCAAGAATTTCTAAGTCGAAAAAGGGGCATAATTATGTAAAAAAGCAAATCAGAGTTATGGCACTTGTGCCAATCATCTTAGATAATCACAGAGAACAAGTGTGTGAAGTTTCAATCCATTCCCTTCATTAGTTATGGAGATACCAGCTTACATACAAAAACTAAACCACAGGGACGCCGACGCCGACAAATGGGTGACTGCATTAGTTCGATTATTCTGCGAATACTCGAGCTTAAAACCATTACAAAACATGAGGTGTGCTGCTTTAAATCTAAATTTAAGTTTTTTTCCATCTATTTTCTTAATTACTTCCCAATAAATATAAACAAATGTACTGATGAAAAGGTACACCAAAAATAAACAAATGTAGGATAAAACAAACCTGGAAATACAAGTATAAGTCTACTGAGGGCATGGTCCCACCGGTGAAGAAATTTTTTGCCATCCATTCAGTGTCTGAGCCAGGTTTTGTATCGAAGGCATATGGGTGTAGTTTATGGCACAGAACTTGTATAAACAATTTTCCGGAGGGCTTTAACCATGATGATACTCTCTGCATTAATATCTCATAATTCTTCATGTGCTGGAAAAAAAACCAATAACAACAACCAAACATAACACATAATTGTATCATATCTCATGGCAGAAGTTAATATGAATGTAAATATCACCTTTTGGGGTCTTTTTCTAATACAAAATTGAAAACTTTATCTTAATGAATCGAATGATTAAGTCTTCAGTAAAAATAAAGTAACGCATAGAGTAGCACAATCAGTAGCCCTCGGTTATTATAAAAAATCAAACACTTCCAAAGTACTATGGAAAGTAACAAAAAATTGCAACTGGCAATCACAACTCTTCGGACCTTTTAGTCACACTTTGGTTAAAAAACCACAGCAGTCAGAACAATAGTAAGGACATACATGTACTAATTACAAGCAGTATAGTGGTTAAATTACACTGCAAAAATTATACATTACTGCAGAATATTTAGTACAGCAGCCAGCAATTCTTGAATCATTTCATCACATTGTGCAAAAATTGACTAAAATAATGTATTTTCAAAGGTTAAGATATAAAATAAACATCACCTATTTTTATTGTTTTAATCTTATTCATACTCCCCAAAGTACAGAATTAAAACCAAGTGTGCATAGTATTTTAAATCATATTCTGATCTTGTGTCAGTGGTACATGGTGACTGTTGGTCATAATCTAAATTATCCAAATACATGATCCTTTCTTTCAGATGGGTAATACACGTCCCTCAAAATTATGTAATAATGATCAGTTATATGCTTATAACTGAGCATTTCATTCGGTTTCTTGTGAAAAGCTGTCCTCTTAATGCCTACAACTAAGCATTTTGTTCAGTTTCTTGTGTATATAAGCTATGTGTTCTATAGGCCTATAACTAAGCATTTTATACAGTTTCATGAGTTTAAAATCATTACTTTATAGCGAGTATGAACAGGCAAAAATAGAAACCATTATTGGAACAATACATCAAAATTTTGATAAACATATTCCCAAAGTTTTGGCACAAAAGTTTCTCAAAAATTAAAAATAAAATAACAAGCTCAAAGGTCAAATAGTTTGATACTGAACACCAGTGTAAAAATCAAAGCAAAGCATTTGATTGGCTAATTTACCAATAAAGCTTATCATTGACCAATCAAAATAGTTTCTGTCAAACACTCAGGTCTCTGTCTGACATACTCATTTGTCAACAATCAAAACAAGTAGAATTTTATTGTGACTGCTATTTATATCTATTTATTTATTCATTTAACCTTATAATTATTAAAATCAGCACCTCAAACATTTCTATTGAAATAATCCTGTCAAATCTTTTAGCAGTAGTGAACACATTGGCATCTGCTGTAATACATTCTAGTTTCCCTTGGTAACCACCTGCTAATGCCCGATCTTGTATCAACTGTCTCTGTGTGTTAGAGTTGGATACACAAGTAACGTTACATCTTGGGAACTTCTCACATATGTACAAAGACAAAGATCCCCAGCCACATCCTAAATCCTGCAAAAATAAACCAGGAATAAACAACATGTCTAGCCATAAATTAAATCAGGCAATATCAACCAAGAGAGTTATGTGCGACACAAAAGAGAACGGACGGACGGACAACGGTAAATCTAAATGCCCCTCCCCCCAAAGTGTGGGCACAAAAATCAACTGGGGCACTCAAAAGGAAAAAATGTGAGAAAAAAATTATTAAAGAAATGTACTTTATTTAAATCTAAAATTGACATTCAGTGTGATTCTAAGTGGGATTTGAGTCAAAAGCTATGCTTTTCATTTATAGGTAATATTTTATTGCACAATATAAATGTTTATTCTAGAAAAAGGGAGTGAATGAATAATCTGATATTTTGCATACAAGTTCTTGGTAAGCATTTAAAAGCTATGCTTTTCATTTATAGGTTATATATTTTTATATTTTCGCACAATATAAATGTTTATTCTGAATGAATAATCTGATATTCTGCACACAAGTTCTTGGTATGGACGTACATTAAATGATATAGATAGATAGACAATTAACTTGTGTGCAAATTTTCAGATCAATCCCTCATTTCATTTTTAGAATGTGGAACATCATCGAAAATTTGAAAGCGCTAAGTAGCACAAAAATCTATTTTCAATTAATTATGAGTTTTTTTCTTAAATATTTTTTGCATATATTTTTGTTTTTATTGCCCTGGTCTCTGTAAGAACTTCAAATTTTATGTTTATAGGCTTTTGGACCTCAGTGGAGTTCCTTAAATTAAATAATTATGAACATTCCAATTATACTGCCAAATCATATAAATTGAACCCCACCTATTACACTTACTATTCTATTTAATTATTCAAGACTGCATTTTCAACCTTAAAGTGTATCTAACTGTAACATAACTACCCATCTAAAAGTGATACTTACAAGAATTGTCTGGCCATCTTGCACCCCTGCTCTCTCACATATTTCTTTAAGAGACAAATCTTCAGCTGAAAATACAAAAAATATGTCAAACTCTCCTACATTAATATATCTGTTTCATTGAAAATTTGTTTTTAACAATGAAAAACAAAAACAAAAGTTGACATATGGATTTTTTTGTTAGGTTTTACTTTTCACCAACACATTATAGGTCATATGGCGACTTTTCAGCTTTACTGGTGGAGGAAGACCTCAGGTGCCCTTCTGTGCATTACTTCAAACACGGACGGGCACCAGTCTTAGTAGAACCACCAACATTCCTAAGCTAGCTGGACAGCTTCCTCACATGAAAGAATCCAAAGTCCCTGTCGGGATTCGAACCCACAGCGATGGGGGCAAGTGATTTGAAGTCAACATCCTCAACCACTCTGCCAAGGATCCCCCTCATGTGGATTTGAAAAAGCTGTAGGTTAATATATGCATATTTTGCATGAATCTTTTACGGGATCTTCATCACAGAAGAAGTTGAATCCATTGGTGTAAAATTGATGACACCTCATCCAGGTGGATTAATATAATGCAAAGGAGAGCAAATTCTCATACAAGAAAAAAATACCTGCTGTGCATAAAGGAATATCTGATGGTTACTAATATAATTTTCAAATTGTCAATGAACAGCCAACTTATGTCCAGAACAGTTTGGATGTGACATTTTAAGTGCTAAATAAAACTTACAACTAGTGTTGATCATAAATGCCATTTCTCTACTGCTCTATTTCTTTTACAAAGTATTACATTGCATTAAATGTTTTCCCCTTGTATAAAAAATTTTGTACAGTTTTTCATACAGTATACCTAAGTTGGTAACGCTTACATTTTCAGCAGTGCAAACTACTGGCTACATGATAAAATCTCTTCCAAATACAGAATAACCTCTTCAGAGAGGCCAGCTGCAGAGCCATTACATCTATACAACAACAATATCATTTCATCCAAAAGTAAACAATCTTTACATCAATAATATCATTCCTAGCAAAAGTAAACATTTACAGTAAATATAACATAGAGCAACACCTCTCTTCAGCAACCAAAACATTTGCCTCCCATTAATAGGGTATTACTTTGCAGAGGTTGGACTGTTATACAAATGTTAAAATTATTAGTTGTAAGAAATAGTATCTCAAAACATTTTTAGCAGCTAATTCTTTATACAGATTAAGGTTATATTTTACTGTACCATCTTCTAATGTATTAACACCTGCTGGCCAGCTACATCCACTGTACTTCAACCTCTTCCCAAGGACCTAAAATATATAATATTATCAGTCTCAGATTGAAGTTTACGAAGATACCTTTGGAATTGACAATTTAAGAGGAATTTTACACAAATTGGAAACTTTAGCGGTTGTTTGGCTTTGCTAAAAATTGAGTACTTAAACTTTCAATAAGTGAATGATAATCAACCATATCATTGTGAAAGCTACTTAATTTTATGTTTTATAGATTCTATGAACAATTATTTCATTACATAATTTGGGCTTTATACCCTTATAACATTACAATTTTGCATTACATAGCCATGTATAGTTTAGTATCTTTAGGTCTATTGATATTTGTTGTTGGGTTTGAACTCACACTATAAAGGTCATATGGTGACTTTCCAGCTTCATTAGTAGAGGAAGACTTTAGGTGCCTCTTCATGCATTTACTAGCAGGCACCCGAGTAGAACCCTCAAAGCTCTGTATAGGTTCCATGAAAGAATTTAAAGTGCCTGGGTGGTTTTGAATGTACAGCAGTGAGGTGCTAGTGGATGCTTTCTTAGACTCATCATACACAGGTCATGTACATATCAAGAAAAGTAATTCAAGATGAACTTTTACCTATGGTCTCTTAACAAGTTTCATAGCCAAACATACATGATACAGGATGGGTAAATATTGGTAAACTGAACCAGTCCTTAAAGCACCAATAAATCACAACCTCGGAGACTTCTCTATATCTTATGATAATTTATTACAACATGTAAAACATGACTGTAGTAATAATCGCTTTAAGCAATTAGTGCTAGGAAAACATCCTCAAAAGGATTCTAAACAGAAAAATTAATGAGTTTATTCCCTTCATGCATATCTGTTGAGTTAAACAAAGATTTTGACAAGACTATGTGGTTTACTGGTTATTTGAGGTTTTAGTATTACATGTAGTTCAATGTGAACAAATATCAATATAATCATTTTTTACCGTTAAGAAAAATTCTGATGGAACTTCATAATGTTGTTCATTAGCTTTGTCGGTATCTATAGCAACAGGTGACTCTCTTAGTCTCTGTATAAACTTCTTCTTGAAGAATGACTGTTTCTCTAAGTCACCTCCACATTCTAGTTTCTGTATCCATGCTGCAAGGTTTGCTCTAACACCTAGAGATAAAACATGCAATGCTGTGAAAAAGGCTCAAAAGTAATTGGCACAAGAGTGTGGTATACAAGAGTATAATTATGAGTTTTATGCAACTTATATAACCTTAATTTCAAAAAAACATGTTGCATTTATAATGTAAGTAGTTTTTTGTTACTACACTATACTGTGGAAGCTAAATGCAGGTGTTTGTCCTTCCGCAAGATTTGAATAATTATGTCTCTAAGATGTACACATTGGACCTTAAGTTCAATCCAAAAATGCATGTAAAAGGCAGATCATATCAAGGTGTATCAAGGTGCGTCCACATATAAAGTTTTAATGAATTACCTTTATTAGTATTGAAGTCAACAACCATAAACAAAACTTTACAATAAAGATCAACCAACCCTGACTCTGATGAGTGGGTCTTGACAATAGTTTAGTCAAAATATTAAAAGATGTGCCAATACTAGATTCTGAGATATTTTACACCAGGTCAGAATCGACGTAGAGGGAAGATATTGCCCATACACATAATAGCAACATACATTTTGTATCTCAATGCGTAGTTTAATTAGTTGGACTATTATAAACTTAGCAGGATGCTTTGGAACAAGGTAAAGGTGCATTAAATTTTAGTTCTATAAATATCACATTGCTTTGTTAAATGATTAAAGGAGATAAAACTTTCATTTTTTAAGTATTTTGAGAACAGCAGAATCACCAGGAGGAAGAAGCATAGTAAGATCTCCTACTATGCTACAGGAGCTCCTAGAAAAGTACGAAAAGTAAGATTGTACAGTATTTTTAAAAACATCTATGTAATGTTGGTTTTCAAAATCTGTTGGTTGGTCTTGCAGTCAAAATATTGACACTAAAAGTGACTGTGTCATGGATGCTGACTAATACACCATAGAAATCTTATGGAAGCTCCATCACAATGCTTTTGTGCACATGACTTTGTCATGTTGTCTCATTCCATAAAACCTCAGAACTGTGCTCTGGAAAGTTACAACACCATTTCATTGTCAGATCGCATTGTTAAATATTTAGATCAATGTCTATCTGGTGAGTCTATAGCTAATCAGGTAATTAAGAAGGCCAATGCAAAACTTAAGTTTTTATATAGAAAAAGCTCATTTTTAAAAAGGTACATGTATACTAAACAGCTTTTAGTTTCTTCATTAATACAATGTCATTTTGATTATGCGTGTGTCTCCTGGTATTTAGGGTTGAGTCAAAATCTAAAAAATAGACTTCAGGCCACACAGAATAAATTGGTGAGATTTATACTTAATCTCAGTCCCCGTACTCATATAGGGAGGGCTCATTTTGAGGAAGTTGGTTGGTTACCAGTACATCTGAGGGTAAATTTCCTTATTCTTGGTCATGTACATAAGATACACAACAGAAGTACACCCAGTTATTTAAATGAGCATTTTCAAATTGCAAATGAGGTACACTCTTACTCCACTCGATTTAGAGATAGTAACAGTTATTCTATTCCCAGAGTTAAGGGTTTCGGAAAGAAAACATTTGTATTTATAATGGTTGTCAGGAATGGAACAGGTTACCAACACATCTTAGGTTCATAACAAGTCGTGATAATTTTAAAAAATCTCTTAAGGAACATTTTATGCAATCAATATCTGTTAAGTCATTTTAATCCAATCATATATTACTCAGTTTTTATTTATGTATTTTTTTATGTTCACTGCATATTTTAGTAGTACCTATTCATTGTCAGACATATCTGTCATAATTATGATTATAATACATGTGTGATAAATTTTGTGATGGAATTACTTATGTGCAATAATTGATATAAGAAGTTGTGATTGAATAATTTATGTGCAATATTTGATAATTAGTAATTATTTTGCCTTTCTTGTGTCATATGATCAATTCTAAGGACCACAATGGAAATAAGTTGGCTTATGTCTTCTTTTTGTGTCATCCTTGGTATTGAATATATGGCATCAACACATGCACTTTCATGTTCACATGTATCTCTTGATGTTGACATCGAATTTGTAGTTGTTTTATGACATGTATTTTTTTACCAGAATAAAACTATCTATCTATTGAAAAACACCATGAAGAGTGACAGGGGCTTCAGATCTATGACCTCCCACAGTTCTTATAGCGAGCTCGACGAGCTGGCCCGAAGGGCCTGCTCGCAAAGCGAGCTTTACAGTAACGCGAGTACCTGCTAAGTGATGGTTTTGAAAACTTTCGTCCGAAGTACCGAATTGGACACATCGCAACTTTTCGAATTTAAAGATAACGATAAAAACTGAGGAATTCTGACTGGATGTGTAGACTGGTCACCCGCGCACGTCTATGGGAACCATAATTGGACAGGGACCAGAATAACGGAAGCTGTGTATAAAATATCGAATGACAGTTTTAAAACGGAAAATGTAAAATGAAAATTGAAGGCGCCATTTTGTTTGAAAAATCTGACAAATAAAAACAATTTTTTTGTCGAATTTTGTTGTGAAAACTATCTAGTATGAAAGGAAATGGTCTAACTAAGAAAATGAATCCGAACACCAATATCTTTTATTCAGTCGTTAACGCTGTACAGACGTTTAAAGTATTGTTTACGCGACGTCACAATGTAGCGCCAAACAACACGTGCAAAACAATCAAATCAAGTACGCTATTTTAATGTCGCAAACGTTTTAAGTTTTACATTTATTTCACTTTTAATAATCTTTATTTCGCTTGAAAAATTATAGAGTAAAATAAAATAAACAAACAAAGTTTTATCAACGTTTTCAAAACTCGTTATTCATTTAACGACAGGGGCAGAGCCATATTTAACACAGTACGTGTGACGTCACACGCACTCGTCAATGCATTTGAAATAAAAATGAGCGATTATGTCATACTATTTCACGTTCAATTTTAAAGTACATCAAGCTCGCTTTGAGGCTTTGTCTTTTACATATTAAATTTGGTCCAGCTTGAAGAAAAAACACCTTCACTAAATAGTAAATACATGCACAGATATGTAAACAATATCTAGCTCCATGATACATGTTATTACATGATGCAAACAGCTGGAAACAGGGAAAGTATGCATGATTACTAATCAAAAGTTTTCTAAGAATGCATCATAAAAAATATAATTTTATATGACTAATATAAACCAAAACATTTTCTTTACCACTTCTCAAAGCGTCGTCAGATGCCATTCCTGTAGTCGTATAATGTCACTAAATTAGAAAAAGAAAAGAACAACAGGTGCAATAGTCCAAAGTCCTGTCTGTACATAACGATAGAATCCGAACAGTGCCAAATTTGTTTACTTGACTGGTTTACAAGCTAAATTTACCGGTGACGTTATTATGACATTTAGTTTTGATACAGTCTTTTTTCATTCGGACAACCTTGCATATTTTCCAAAAATGTCAACATCACAAAATTCAGAGGAAAATCCCGAAGTTTCACATGAAAATAAAGATGAAGTACATGGAGCGAGTGGGAATGGTGGAGAATCAAGCACCCCAACAAGTCCCACGCACGCGAAATTTAAAGGTGCTGAAATTTTTTTTGAAGTTGAGTTTGTTATTAGTTTTCGCGACATTTTTTTTTCTCAGGAATTCATTTTCATGAATTCTTTCTGTTATACCACTACGGCTTTCAGTGTTTTCAAAATGACCAGTGTTACATTTATTAACCTCTCTACTCTTGTTTCAAACTGTATTATAGTCCTATAAAATTAGACGTTTAGTACCACAGGCGCTTGTCACGTAATCAAATATTTTACATAAGTCATAACCGGTCTATATATGTATATAAAGATATCTAATTATAGTATATAGCCCATATAAAACTTTAAAAAGTTTATTTCAAGCACCTGTGTTTAGTACTACACTACGTACACTCCAACGTCTCATCAACTTCTCCATACGTTCCTTTAGCAAAACGCGCAGCGATTTTTAAGCATTACTTAAACCGTGGTAACTTACTACAAAAGCAATATTTTAGTCAAAAGATATGCAGGCAGTTAATTTAAACATTTTTGCATCAATGTACAACTTAAATATAAATAACTCACCTTTGAGTAGTCCAATATATTAGACGTTACAGGCTTGTTATAGTTTTTGTCGGTCAAGCCTGACGTCTAATAGTTATTGCTCAAAAACGCATAGCATCATAAAAAATTCCAAAAATGTCTATTGTCCTGCCTTGCAAGCTTTATTCAAAAGATTATCTTATTTTCTTTCAATTTCATGCTCAATCATACACAAAAACTGTCAAACGATGTACTTATCAATTAAAAATAAAATATAAACATCAATCTGTTTTTGTCTATCAGCCATACTGGTTAAGCAAGGTGCTTTACAGATTGATTCCAAATTTTTGAACGGAAAAATATATTCGAACACACTGACGGTGCATGGGCAATTATTTCGTTAAAAAAATATTCCGTTAGATTGTTCTGACTCAGTTAAACGCTTGCATTTGAATTAGCCAATCAGATTTCGCGCACTTTACGGCCGCCATTTGTTTATCGGCTGTAAAAGGAATTGAAATACATGAGAGGATTTAATCATGATTTTTCGGATGTGACAGTTTAATTATTTTGACAAAAGGTATTTATTTTTTAGTTTTGTTCATAAATAGGTAAAAAAATATGTAAATACACGCTGTCTTCATTGTTTTTTGTTCCGCCCGATTTTCTGGCGGAACATGCTATGGGTTTTTGAGCAATTTCGATATGACGTTGCTTTGCCCAGAAGCAAAAATATCTCAAAGCGACGTCATATTTATAGGACTAACCTTTGAGTTGGAGTGTACGGAAACGTCTTATGTTATAGGACTAACTGTATTAGGGTTTATGAATTCATTTATTTAAGGAAGCTTTACAACGCAAACAGGACGTTTCGGCCCCAAACCAAACCGGCCCCTGTGCTAAAATCGGCCCCTAGACGTTTTGTAGTTACTATTAAGGTCCCAGCTTTTTGCATAGGGAGGCCTCAAGTCAGGTCTTCATAATCATTTATCAGTTAATTTGGGCAGTTGCCAAGTAATCCTAGTGGTGTTGAAACTCAAATCAAATGATGAGTGGAAAAAAGGCCTAAACACTTTCTTGCTAACTGTATGTTCAAAGTCATCATATTAATCTATCTATCTTCCGTTGGCTTGTTGACTTAACGCATGTACATCACACAGCGCCTGTTGATAATATCCGGCCGTGAATCTGAACTGATGACAACACTGTTACTGCCGATAATTGACTGCAATTAACATATTTTATTTGACATGATATGCAGATCCATCGGACATATTGCCCTCAAATTCACTGGTGTGCATAGCTTATACGACACCTATCACTTTAATCAGCGAGTTTAAAACGTTTACACCCGGAATCGGTCTTACCATTTGACAATAAGTACACGCAACGTCACACCGACCGTGTAAATATATTTGCACATAAATTTATACACAACAGGAAAAGCACTAGTAAATGGCTCAATTCAATATGTGCATATGAAGTTTTAAGTTGGCGGCGTCTTTGATGTTCTTTGAATAGCATTCGCAAAAGTCGGTAAGATCATTAAAACTGGATCATTTAAACACCTGTAAAAATACGATGAAAGCATGTAGAACTTAGAAGTAACCTGCTTTAGCAAAAGGTCATTCTTTATTGTTTTGTGCACTTAACTCACGACATTAATATCCATCTATAAAAAGAATAGAATAAAATGAATTAAAAAAACAGATTTAAATAAGACTGGAAAATAACTGATTTTTGGGTTTATTTGATTAAAAAGACAGACCATCTCCCGATCACCACTTGATTTCTGCTGATTTATTTTAAGGCCTTAACCCCCATTATATCTAATTATTATGCAATATAAAACTTGTTTTATTAAAATAATTATTACTGAATAAAAAATCTGCATCTGTATTAAATAAAAAAAATCTGCATATGCACATCTTATATAAAATAAATATTAATATTACTGAGTAAATAGATAAAACATCTTATAGATCAAATCAATGCACCCAGCACATTTTCACTTCTCCCTATGCCCTGATAAGGGCTGAGGGAGAACTCACTTCTCAATTGACATTAGATTAACTCGAACCCTCTAGTTATTTGTTAAGAACTTAAGATTTTATATTCTATTCTAGTCATTAAATTGATGTACAAGCTTGTTCATGTTTAATTATGTTAAGTTCAATAAATTTTTAGCAGTAAAAGTATAAGGCTTTTAAAATTAAAAGTTTTCTTGACGTGTCTTTGGCTATGGGAATCGTATTGTATCCAAAAGTATCATATCGTACTTGCATATCACGATACGTATCGTATCGTGAGGTAGGTGTATCGTTACACCCCTAGCACTGAACTGCTCTGGTGTAGGGAGTAGGGATACTGCAGGGGTAGGTGGTTCCAGTGGTATACCGTCCTAGGAAAGAATGAGAACTTATAATAGTGATTGATGTTTTGTTATTATTTTCAGTTGATGTTCTTTTGAAGCCGGCAGGGGATGCACCAATCATGAAGAAGAAAAAATGGGCTGTTGAAAGAAATAAAAAGATAGTATATATATCTGACTTTATAAAGAAATTCATCAGAATGGGCCAAAATGAATCAATAGTGAGTCTTGTAAGTCTTTTACAAATGAAAAGGTTCTTCCTACATATTGCCTATTTATAGATAGGCATTTGTTTCCAACAGATTTTCTGTAAATATAGTAATTATTAGTCCCCTACCGGTTTAACCGGAGGGGACTTTAGGTTTACCCTCCGTCCGTCCGTCCGTCCGTCTGTCAGTCCGTCCGTCCACAAAACTGGATCCCGCGATAACGCAAAAAGTACTGAAAATATTTTTATGAAACTTGATATATGGATAGATGGCAGTATGGAGATTATGCACGTCTTTATTTTTTCTTCCTATGTTGAAAATTCTGGTTGCTATGGCAACAAATAGTCTGAAAATATGGCAAATTTAACACATAAACTGGATCCAGTGATAACTCAAAAAGTACTGAAAATATTTTTATGAAACTTGAAATATGGGTAGATGGCAGTCTAGAGATTATGCACATCTTTTTCTTTTCTTCCTATGTTGAAAATTCTGGTTGCTATGGCAACAAATAGCCTGAATTTCAAGATTTCTGATTTAAATTTTTCAGCTTTTTCACTATATGTTCTTTATTTCTTAAGGTGTTTACTTCAAACTTTAAATATAAGTTTCTGGTCATCAACCACATCATATGTGACAAGGTTTATAACTCTAGCACAAAAAATATCAGTATTACCTCCCTTGAACTTAGATTTTTTAGGGGAAAAAATGTTGTCTTTTTTAAATAACTTCTTTATTTCCTAATGTATCTACTTCAAACTACATATATATGTTTCTTATTATCACTCAACATTTTTGAGAAGGTTAAATACTCTAGCAAGACTATTTCCAGAATTATGTCCCCCTTGAACTTAGATTTTTTTCGAGAAACTGGTATTTTCACTCCAACTTCTTCATTCCTTATAGGATTTACTTTAAAATCCCACATCGTAATAATATGACAAGGTTGTATAAACATAATTTCCTTACTAAGCATGGAAACTTAACACATTACTGTGATATAGACAAACTTATTTTATTATGTTTTGTGGTCGATATTTTCAAATACAGACTTCATCCTCAAATTCATTATAAATGGCAATACACAGGAGGGTATGACAATTAAAGAACTTTTTGAGGGACCGGTAGGGGACTACTGTATTGCCCGCAATACTATCAAATGCTTGTTTTCTTAGTCAGTTGTGTTAAAATACAAAATGATGACATAGTCGTTTTTATTGCTCGCTTGGCTCATTTTGGAGAATATTTGATGCAGGCTCTGTAATAAAAAAGGTCCAACCACCTTTACATGGAGTCCAATCTATTATTCATGGTGTCCAACAACAGTTTTCATTAGTCCAACCCCATACCTTCATTTTAACTATAATATTTGAACCAGAATGTGATGTTAAAGTGCAAATAATAGTTTTGGTCTAATAAAACAGAATGTTTTAATCAAAGCATACAATAAATTTACATGTATACATTTCTGCATAACTACAGCAAATACATACAATATAATTAAATAATTTTCTTTTATTATTGTAATATACAGGGAATCAATATCAATGAAATATAATTAATACACTTAAACCATTATTTAAACAACAAATGTCCATTTCGTAGGCGAAAAGTCCATTTCGTGAAATTGATTCCATTTCGCATTCTGTTACTACTGATAAAGAGCATGGTCAAGCTAGTCTGTCATACTAATATCTAGAAAATGTGGTTTATACTCATATATTCACTATAATTGGTTTGTAGTAATAAGCATGTCCTAAGGTATAGTTCCAACAATTTAAGAATTGGTTTTGTGTTTATATCCATGAAATGCACATATTTTATAGGATTTATAGAAATTTATATTTCATTTTCAATTTTGTCCATGTGTTTTGATTGAATCGGTCATTTGGTCGTCAATTTGGAATTAAAACATTAATAATAATATCAATCATCAGGAAATGTGTTGACAAGGAAGTATTCTAGCATCAGTAATTAAAGTACTTATGTGTTCATTTATTTCTGTAAATATTATATATTTCAGTTCCTTTATGTAAATCAGTCATTTTCACCATCACCAGATACAGAAGTAGGATGTGTATTTGATGTAAGTAAAAGAGACTTATATTTGGATGTTTAAAATGCATACAGATTTTTATTATTTTTTTTTTCTCTGAAAAAGGGGGAGTATATTGTTTTGCACATTTCTTTACTGAAAGTTTTTTACACATTGTTGAGTACAATACTGAATTGGACGTGTTCACATGTGTCTAAACTATATAAGGCAAGATGCAAGCCAGGTCTAGTACAATAGGGGCCTCTGTAGCCGAGTGGTTAAGGTTGCTGACTTGAGATCACAGGTTCCTCACCGCTGTAGGTTCGATCCTCACTGGTTGAAATCTTTCATGTGAGGAAGCCATCCAGCTGGCTTACGAAAGGTCGGTGGTTCTACCCAGGTGCCTGCTCGTGCCTGAAATAATGCCCGGAGGGGCACTTGGGGTCTTCCTCCACCAATAAAAAGCTGGAAAAAAAATTGACGAAAAAATCTTGGTGGGACGCTCTAGGATGGCCCGACTTGAGTGTATGGTCACCCATATGGGCTTTCCGGCGGCGACCTTAAATAAACGCATTAAAAAAAAAAAAGGTTTAGTACAAGTTTTGCAGCTGTGTATGAGTCTTATAGTATTGGTATTGCTCTAAACAATATACATGTATAATAACCTCTTTCTTTCACACCACTATATGTTGATATTTTGACAGAACCTTGTAACTTCAAGTACAGCTATAAGGATTTGATATGGATCTTTTAAACTCCCAAAAATGAAAACAAGGCTTAAGATTGTGTATGATATACATTTGTTATGAAATATTTGGACTCTAAAAACTAAAACGAGGCTATATGCATTTGATATGAACTTGTGTGAAAAAAATGTACATTGTATAAATAAACAAAATTTTAGAAATGATATTAAGTTTTATTATATACTTATAAACGAAATATTGATAAATATTAATAAAATAAAAAAAACAAAAAAATAAATGCGTATTTTTATTTTGTGAATATAAGTAAATAAATATAAATAAATTAAATGTTAAGCTGTGGCTTTCCATAGTTTTATTTAAGAGGAAATATTGTGCATGCACATTTTTATTCGGTTGCGTTTAGTTTTCATCGTGTATGTTTAACTTCCAGTATTGAATTGGTGAAACTCTACAATTTCTGTGAAAATAATACTTACCAAAATTACTAAAACTTAATATAATAATTTAACCCTGTGACAATATGATATTAAGTTTTATTATATACTTATAAATGAAATATTGATAATTATTGATGAAATAAAATGTGTATTTTCATTTTGTGAATATTAATAGATAAATATAAATAAATAAAATGTTATTTTAGATATGATATTAAGTTTTATTATATACTTATAAATGAAATGTTGATAAATATTAATGAAATAAAATGCATATTTTCATTTTGTGGTTTGAAAATTATCATATTTTATTCATGGCTACCACCACTCATGAAATATTTATATTTTCATACCACTCGATGAAAAGTCCTGTATTTATTATCCTCTTTATATAGGTATAAATAGATAGATGTTGTTTAAGATATAGCTAACAATAATTTGTTTATTATTTCAGTGTTTTGGCAGTGATGGCAAACTAGTTCTACATTATTGTCGGACACAGGCATGGGGATGAACATTGCTGAGAAACCATATATTGGAATAATAGTAACTGTGACAAAAACTTACCTTATCAAGTGTTTCATTTAAATTATATGAACTATGTATATAAGTCTTTTTTTTATTTTTTTGTGTATCTTCAAATACACTGTAACAATATCTTTATATATTAAAGCTGCATTTGTCCCAGCAAACCAGGGTTGAGAAACAATTGATTCATAATTATTGTGATTACTGGATTTTTGGATTGTGATTCTTAGCCGGATTTGAGCAAAAAACATTGCAGCGCTTTTCATTTTCAGGTCATTTTGCATACCAGTTAAGAATTACAAAAATTATTATTGTGGAAAAATGGGTTGAGAGAATCACACAAGAAGCTGTGGAGTCCCAAAAGAAGTATTGTTTTATAAAATTTGTTAACAGTAAAATTATATTTTTCCATGATAAACTTAAGAGACTAAGGATATCTTGTGAAATTTAAATGCAAATATCAACAGTAATATTAACTACTGTATTGATTTCATAATATTGTGTTTGACTTTCGGAATTGTTGTTACATACAATGTCTCTGTTGTTTAACACACATTATTATTATTAAATGTTCCAAAACAAAATATTTTGCTGCTATTTTAAGTAAGGTTTAAATCATTTAGCGATGATGTTACGAATGTGCCATTGGCTTATAAATAATTTTACAAACATATTTCTTTCATACAGACATTTCGGTAATATCTTTTCTTCAAATTTGCAATATGCATGGTTATATTTATTATTTTAATTTGATCATTTGTGTTTTATTCAGACTTACTTTTTAGCTCACCTGTCACAAAGTGACAGGGTGAGCTTTTGTGATCGCTTTTCGTCCGGCGTCCGTCCGGCGTCCGTCCATAAACTTTTACTTTAAATGACATCTCCTCATAAACCACTAAGCCAATTTCATCCAAACTTCACAGGAATGTTCCTTTGGTGGTCACCTTTAAAAATTGTTCAAAGAATTTAATTCCATGCAGAACTCTGGTTGCCATGGCAACTGAAAGAAAAAACTTTAAATATCTTCTTTTAAAAAACCATAAGAGCTAGAGCTTAGATATTTGGCATGAAACATCTTCTAGTGAGTGTCTACCAAGTTTGTTCAAATAAAAGCCCTGGGGTCAAAATTGGCCCCGCCCCGGGGGGTCATTGATTTTCCCTATATGCATATAGTAAAAACTTAAAAAATCTTCTTTTAAAGAACCCAAAGAGCTAGAGCTAAGATATTTAGCATGAAACATGTTCTAATGGGTGTCTACCAAGTTTGTTCAAATAAAAGCCCTGGGGTCAAAATTGGCCCCGCCCCGGGGGGTCATTGATTTTCCCTATATGCATATAGTAAAAACTTAAAAAATCTTCTTTTAAAGAACCCAAAGAGCAAGAGCTAAGATATTTAGCATGAAACATGTTCTAATGGATGTCTACCAAGTTTGTTCAAATAAAAGACCTGGGGTCAAAATTGGCCCCGCCCCAGGGGGTCATTGATTTTCCCTATATGCATATAGTAAAAACTTAAAAAATCTTCTTTTAAAGAACCAAAAGAGTTAGAGCTAAGATATTTAGCATGAAACATTTTCTAATAAGTGTCTACCAAGTTTGTTCAAATAAAAGCCCTGGGGTCAAAATTGGCCCCGCCCCGGGGGTCATTGATTTTCCCTATATGCATATAGTAAAAACTTAAAAAATCTTCTTTTAAAGAACTCAAAGAGCTATGGCTAAGATATTTAGCATCAAACATGTTCTAATAAGTGTCTACCAAGTTTGTTCAAATAAAAGCCCTGGGGTCAAAATTGGCCCCGCCCCGTGGGTCATTGATTTTCCTTATATGTGTATAGCAAAAACTTAAAAAATCTTCTTTGAAAAAACCCAAATAGCTAGAGTTAAGATATTAAGCATGGAACATCTTTTAGTGAGTGTCTACAAACTTTGTTCAAATAAAAGACCTGGGGTCAAAATTGGCCCCGCCCCGGGGGTCATTGATTTTCTTTATATGTGTATAGCAAAAACTTAAAATCTTCTTTGAAAAAACCCAAATAGCTAGAGTTTAGATATTAAGCATGAAACATCTTCTAGTAAGTGTCTACAAAGTTTGTTCAAATAAAAGCCCTGGGGTCAAAACTGGCCCGGCCCCAGGGGTGTCATTGTTTTTAACTATAATGTGTATAGTAAAAACTTAAAAAAAATCTTCTTTTAAAAAGCCCAATGAGCTAGAGCTTAGATGTTTAGCATGAAACATCTTCTTATGGGTGTCTACCAAGTTTGTGCAAATAAAAGCCCTTGGGTTAAATTGGCCCTGCAACATTGGGGGGGTTGGGGGGGGCCTATATACAGGTGAGCGACCTCAGGTCCATCATGGCCCTCTTGTTTAGTTAAAATGGACTTCTTTTTAGTATACCCAAAATTCACTTTTCTGAGCATACTTATTTCGGGACTAAAAATATCTTTTTTGGTTGGCCTAGATCCATTTCTAAAACGGAGGGAACTTTTTTTTCATAAGTTAAATATTTGAAATTCATTTGTATACAGTGTCTATACATGAGTCAGAATGAATACTATTCACTGTGATAATGTTTTAGCCTGCAATGTTTGTACATGTACATTGATAATTTGATAAAACTTGTCTTGAGGGGCGTCAGCGACTAATAAATTAAGGGTTTTTACTTCAAACTCCTGCCTATATCACCTCTGTGGGTTTGAAACCTGCATGGGACATTTAATTATTTAATTAATATGAGGAAGTCTGTGTTTCTACTCTGGTGCCCGCTTGTGCCTGAATAAATGCACAGAGGGGCACCACAAGTCTTCCTCCGCCAGTATAGCTGGAAAACGGCTATATTATGGTGCACTTTAAAACCCAACATCCAAAGCAAAAAAAAACCCTCCAGTTTGTCTTTGCTTTGTCAAACTTTGTTCGGATTTGTTGATTATGTATATCTATTTCATAACAATTTTATTTATATCTGATAAGAAGGCATGTATCGTTATTATTTATTATTATGTGAGAAATAAATTATTATATAAAATTTATTGTTAGATATTTTTTATGTGTATATTTTCTTGGTCTTTGAAAGATATTCATAAGTAATATGACATACCTCTCCAAAACTGAAATAAATCATGCCCTTTGGGTGAATAGTGGCCAATCCCTTGGGGCCACTTGAATCATATAGACTTACATTGAAATATAATTTAAGTCATATTGTGTATAATTAGGGCTAAGACAGTGTGCTGTGAACCTTTAGGAAATTGATATTTATCAAGACCGTGTGTTGATAATAGACTAACATAGGAAACCATTTATTGTGTGTATCTCATATGCCAAGAGCTTAAATATTTTGCAAGAAGCATTACACTCGCATGCGTTCGGCACATTTGTCTTGCAAATAATGGTCAAAATGGGTATTTGATCGTAATTTTGTTCTTGATGATCAAGGGGGTGATTTATACGTGAGAGTTGCTTTTAAGTAATGTTGACTATGTGATTGGTACTGTGGAGTAATGTTGAATGTGTGAGTAGCGTTCTGTGAATGATGTTGACTATGTGAGTGGTGCTGTGGAATAACGTTGACTATTTGAGAGTGGTGCTATGGAGTCATGTTGACTGTGCAAGAAATTTATGTGAGTAATGTTAACTGTGGGGTTATGTTGACTGTGTGAGTGGTGCTGTGGAGTAATGTTCACTTTGTGAGTGTTGTTATGTGAGTAATGTTGATTATATGAGTGGTGCAGTGAATCAATGTTGACTATGTTATTGATAGTGTGGATAAATGTTGACTATGTGAGTGGTGCTATGAAGTAATGTTGACTATGTTATTGATGTTGTGGATTAATGTTGACTACGTAAGTGGTGCTATGGGATAATGTTGACTACGTGAGTGGTGCTGTGGAGTAATGTTGACTACGTGAGTGGTGCTGTGGAATATGTTGACTACGTGAGTGGTGCTATGGAATATGTTGACTACGTGAGTGGTGCTATGGAATAATGTTGACTACGTGAGTGGTGCTATTGAGTAATGTTGACTATGTGAGTGGTGCTATGGAGTAATGTTGACTATGTTATTGATGTTGTGGAATATGTTGACTACGTGAGTGGTGCTATGGATTAATGTTGACTATTTGAGTGGTGCTGTGGGTAATGTTGACTACGTGAGTGGTGCTATGGAATATGTTGACTATGTGAGTGGTGCTATAGAGTAATGTTGACTACTTGAGTGTTGCTATGGAGTAATGTTGACTATGTGAGTGGTGCTGTGGAGTAATTGTAATCTAGTGGCTATATTTTTACAGCCAAACATTTTAATAAATGTATTGTTAGATAATTGCTTATATACGAGTCCTTGCTTGAGGGGTTACAATATAGACAACATTAAACAAACAATGAAAAATACCGGAAAAAGCATTATGATACTAAATACAATCAAAATTTAAATATTGCCAATAGCTTGTTAAAAGGAGACACGCCAATTCAATCCGTTTCCTTTTAGAAAAAAAATCGTGCGTTTGGCCGAAATAAGGGTATTTCACAGATAATATTATGCACATGCACTAGGTCTTCAGCGTTCACGTATTTATACTGTGACGTCTAATGTCGCACCAGACTAAAAAAAATGTTGAAAATCGATATTTCATCACATTATAAATCATCTTATATAGAAAACGGAAGTGGATGTATAAAACGTTTTTTTTAAAATTACCGTGATCACGTTAAACGAGATTTGACGTCGTGATTTACGCATGACGTTGACGTTGTTTCTACGCGACATTGTCATTGACGCCAAAGCAATAGCAAAGAGAATTTATTCACTTAGCAGTTTTCAGCGATATTTAACGAATATCGACAGTTATGGAGGAAGTTTTTATACCGAAAATATCTATCCTGACCCAAGATGGAGGAATGTAAGTGAAATTTCAATTATTTCACCATAGGTTTGTAAGAAAAGATAAAAAAAAGTCTGAAGTGCAAGTAGATCTGGCTTAAGATACACAAACAAACAATTTCTGTGCAATCATATCATCAAGCCACAAATATCTATGTATCTATTGATTAGGTTTTAATTTATTTCATTCATTAGTCATCATTTTGCATTTATTTATTTATTTTATTTATTTATTTATTACAGACTTTCCAGTCTTGACAGTTTATCTGTATTTACCGGATACGTTCCCATTACAGTTCCGATTTTCCAGGCAGTGAAAGTTAAGCAAGGTTTGTGATTTTCTAAAACGAAGAATCTTTTAAGTGCTTAGAATAATTCACCTTCGTGTATCTTAAACATTTCTTGTTTGTAGTACCTGTTCGTTTAGTTTTGTCTTATCATTTTACATCTCGTTAAATGACTTTCCCGACTGTTGTTTTACTTCTCCGACTGTTGTTTTATTGTCTTTCTTAACCATCAAACCATTATGGACTGCGGAGAAAAGTTCTTCTTTGTCGGGAATCGAACCCACGACCTAAAAATTTAGATACTCGGTGCTTATTTTCAACACCCGTCAATTTCAATTTGCCTTTGTCTAAAGATATATAGAATCTATTATTATCGCGTTCATCGTTTCTTCTAAAGCTTCTTTTTTACATACTTCTTTCTAACTTCTTTTTTACTTCTTTCTATTGTTTCTATCTTTTTCTTTCTATCTGTCTCTTTCTCTAGAAAACAGACTAACCACTTTCCTACGAACTTTGAGAAACTCTGTTCTGAAATATTCTAGACAAGATTATGATATCATTAGTACTGATGAAGATTTTGATACCCTGTAAGATTTTATAACATAAAGTTTATTCTTGTAACATAGGCATGCGGCCCAAAGTACATCACAGTGCAACAAACATAAAAATGCAATGAAAATACAATGTAAAATTTATATGTTTATGTATTAATAATAACCTGTTTTTCACTTGGTATAAAAACAACATATTTTTGTGCTCGCAATATGATGAAAGTTAAATTGTATAGCAGCAATAAACGATCGTTGTTAAAATAAATGATACAAATTGAATTACATATATATTACAACTTGCAGTATGTGATTCAGTGATTTCGTTTTTACTGTAAGACGTTCTAATTTTCTTATAGTCAAGTGACACACTTAAGTACTTCTTATTGACTTTCTTTTTACATTTTTGCCTGCCATTATAGGTTTTCCTCTGAGACACACCAAGTTTTAAAAGAACGCAAAAGAACGCTGGTACACTTCATTAAGAAACATGAAACAGCCCTGCTTGCATTGAGAGAAGCTAGAATGGTAAGTTTTATCTTAACTAAGGAACGCTCTAAAGAACAAAACATTGCAACGTGCATGATTATACCATTTCATATCATATTTGAATAGTTAATTTAGAAATCAGTATAATCATGTTAATATACCATAGTTTGAAGATTAATTGATTTTTTATTTGCAAAGCTATGAACAAAATATCAGTTTTTAATTGTATTCTGTTGCATGGTATAGTATTTTAATATAATTGATTAATGCATCATTTTACCAGACACTAATGGTTTCTTAGATTTATATAAACTATCCCTGATTTACAGAATTGTTGGAAGTCAAAAGCAAAGCTGCAAAAGTATGAGTTGATTTTAGAGACACAGAGATCTTCGTTACGTTACAACCAGAACGAGGCTAAAGTCAGAGAGGCAGCAATTGAGGTATGGGCTTTTTGACTGCTTTTATTGCCCATATTACTGTCTATAAAGATTAAATCTTTTACCAATTCTTGGACAGAAATTCCCAGTCAAAACAGTTGTGCCAAAGTTTTTGTTTGTTTGTTTGATGTTATTGTTGTTGTTAAAGCTATGAACTAGATCTTTAATAAATAATACATCAATGTACAAATTCTGTGTTCATACATACTTGTTTCCATTCATAATGGCATCTTGAAAAATACAGTTCACGAATTATTGAGTTTTATATATAAATTTTATATACAATATAAGACCATAATGTTGGTTTATTTTTTACAGGATATGGAATTAGTACATAATAAATGGATGGTCAAGCACGAGAAAGACCATATTGCTTTTGAGAACAAATTCTTAGCTGAGATAAGTTTGCGAGAGAAAATTCAAAAGGTAGGTTATCGCATATCATACAGTATTTTATATGATTATATTAAAGGTACATTACATTGGTGGTACAATTCAAGTGCATGTTTTGGAACCTTTCGAGTCAACTTACACCATTTCTATAGATAATTGTACAAACATATACATAATATACTTCATATTAAAAATATTATAAATATTGTTTTTCTATTGCCAATATTATTTAGAACTTTTTGTGTTTGCTTAATTATTATTATCGCCCATGTGTGGTCTACTGTCATAGCGGTTTTATATCTTATTTTAAAGGATGGACTTTCACTTAATTGTACTTGCTTTGTAAATTACGGTTTGTAAATTGTATTATAACATATCTATTTTACAGATGTCAAACGACCTTGAACTTGATGTAGTTGAGATGCTTACTGATACAATCAGAACTTTGATGAACAAAAACAGACAAAATCTGAGGTACGTTAATTTCTTGATAATACAATTTATTTGGAAGAAAATAAATTGTTGGATATTTCTATGATACATGTAATTAAGTTAATTAAACCTTTCGCACGATACATTGAACGCAGCATTGATTGATTGATTTATTGATTGAAAAGAAAAACTTTATTGGATATTTTTTTAATATATGTAAGATGATAAAACCTTTCAAACGATAAACTGAACACAATATTGAATTGATTGATTGATTGATCGATCCATTTATTTACTCATTAATCAATCATTATTTTGGTCTTTGTTTCATGCACTTTTTACTGTTTGGCCATTGATCATTAACTTTTTTTATTATTCTTTGACTGCAAGAAATATACGTTATGTTCATTATTGAAAGACAATGTGTTTTTCTTTTTTCTGACAGTGATACAGAAGTAAACAAACTTGCCACACAAGTATACAAACAAACATGCCGTACATACAAGTTTAGGCAAGCATCGGTAAGTATCTGTACTTTCTTTCTTGTTTTTCTTCTGTTTTTATGTAAGTTATAATTCCATACGTTTATTTCCATATATGATTTTTGTTTTAGCCGCTTATTTAACCGGACATTAAATTTGAAAACTATGACATGATTATAAGGTAATCAAAAAGTGATTAATTTTGTTAAGTTGAAGCGCATGCTACGCACAAGTTCACTTTTATTGTTTAATAAGAAACTTCGGAACAGATTGTCCCAGCAGGTTCGCTATAACCGAGGTGTACTGTAAACAGTGTCTACCTATCTATTAAAGTATTTCAAAATTATCACACGAATAAAATGAAGAAAAATGTAAACAATGGGAGAAAATCTCATTTTTAATAGATAAATATTTATGTATTTCAGAACATACCATGTGAGAAAGAATGGATTGAGGAACCTGAATATGTAAACACTAGAATTAACAAACAAGATATTCAGAGAAAGGTTTGTTTGATTAATAATTAAGATTTCTTTCTTTATTTTTCATTTAATTATAAAGAAATTTTGACCTTAAAAGATTTTGGCTAATTGCCGCTATTTAAAAAAAATAAATTAATAGACAGGCATTTGTAAATTCGTTTTAAACTTGCAATTATGCACAGAAACCAGTTTCTTGGTACTTCCACAATGCGCATTTTATAAATAACACGGAGTGAACCGACTATAACACGGAGTAGCTAAACTGTAACGTGGAGTTTCGTATTTTACTATAGGGAGTACTATTATGGTGCGGGGGATCATTGGGATGGGTGGGGTTTATTCTGTTGACTGCTATATATAGATAGTAAATTTAATTTAAAGTTCATAACGCAAACCATATTTCTTTTTTCAGATCAAGACAACAAGTCTGGAAATGGACTGAAAAGCTTCTTCGTTTTTACCCATTTGTCATCATTGATTTTTCATTTCAAATGGGTTTTTTATTTGTTATTTTTCCCATTCAAAATGGGTTTTTAAATTGTTGTTTTTTCCCCATTTAAAGTGGGTTTATTACGAATTAAAAAAGGAAATCGAAATATCTAGTTAAATATATTTTAAATAACTAGAAAAATGTGTTGTATTCCCTTTTCTCCTATAGATACCAGTGCAGCACAACGTTATCAATTTTCGACATTTTACTTGTTCACTCAGTTAACAAGATTTGTGTGCTCCGAACGAAACAGACAAAATATCAATACCGATAACATTGTCCGAAACTGCATTATCAACATAATTGTCCAAAAATTATCAGTCCTTAAATATAATGTTAGCTGGTTGTGAAACGCTCTTATAGTGCTCTTTGAGTAATTTAAGCTGCGTGTCCAGTGCTCTGGAAGTAATGTTGACAATATATGCAGTGCTCTTTGAGTAAAGTTTTAACCTGAGTCATGGTAAATAATTTCATTGGAGAAGCGGAGTATCAAACTTGTGACCCCTTGATTTATATCGGACACTGTTACCACTGAGCCCCAGCGCCCGATCTGATTAAAGGCGTTTTTAAAGGCGTTGTTAGACATTTACTAACATTCGTGGCCTTGCTCGAGGGATTATAATATAGACAACATTACAGAAACAACAGTCCGCCATGAGTAATGTTGAGGTTTCAAGCAGTACTCACTCACTTAGTAATTTTCAGTAAAAAGTCAAGATTATAGGTCAAGTTATCTCTACATTCGCAAGTAGCCAAAAAACTTATATCTAATATTTTTATAAGTTACAACGTTCTTTCATCTTTTGACTGCAATATGAAATACTATGAAAAAAAAGGAAACAGAAAAACAATCAGAATCGCTTAAGAATGCCCAAAACGGCAGAATGAAAATGTTACATGCTCGGTTTGACGGTAATGGTAATTGCAAGCCACCGTCCACATCTTCTAGCACCGGAGTAAGAAAGTCGTATTCAACTTTTAAAAATTTAAGGTGGACCGAACCGTCTAATAGAGTTTGAAAATACATCGTCAGACAAACAAAACGCTTTGCTGATTATTACAATATTAAATGTGTCATTGTCATTTTATTAATTTTATATTATAGCTAATGTAGAGAAATTAATTAAATGACTATTTATATTCATTGTCATCTTATCTCACAGTGTTGATGGAGTGGCTTTTTGGATGATTATGTTAAGATTGGTTAAATAAGTCAAAGCATCTAGGAAAAACACACAATTGACTTCTGCACATGGTTAAAGAAGATGCTGTGCATACTTATAGTATTTTAATGCATTGATTTGAAAGTCTTCTGAGTTCTTATGAAACTACATTTCTTACCTTTGTGTTCAGCCCACCTGCCAGTTTTAAACATAGAAGTGATTTTATTGAGCGTACATAAAATTGCATTTTTGTTTAATACATCTGCTATTATGGTATGTACATGTAACAAGTCAAGAATGGTTTTCTGCCTTAATGACAGGACTGAACAAGGAACCTATTCCCATTTGTGAAAATTCATACTTAATTATTCAGAATACACAGTTTTGTGTTTTTCACGACTGAAAGTTCCAACACGATTATAAAATTTCCACAATGCGGTCCCGAACGTGTTTACAAAATGGTTAAAAGAGAAGCTGTTATATTTCTTGTTATACAAAAGATTAATGCATAACATGTAAGTGAAGATAAGAACAATACATACAAAAAATATTTAAATACAAGGTTATTCAATTCAAACATGACGGGATATTCGCAATTTGTGTACCATTTAATGTAACTAAATCCCTCATCCCGTTTTTCCCAAATAATTATTTTTATTGTCCAAAAGAAAAGCGTTGTAACGAATTTTACTTGAATCAGGCTTTGAAACGCACAAGAAGTTGATATGGAACTCGAGTCCAGGTGTAAATTTCACCTAAAAAGTGTTTTTTTTCCATTATTAGTGCTTCACTCGATTTATCATCTATAAGGAAGTTCCATTTTCACATTGTTGACCTTTGGACCTTAATGGTGTTAACCAACAATAGTATACCTAACTTGCTAGGTAAAAACTTGAGATAGACTGGCTATATTTCTATTTCAATGCAAGTTAATTTAATCAAATAAGAAAGCGTTCATAATTAATTAGATTTATGGACACCTTATTTTAACTTTAATTTTTTTGTTTAATTCTGTCTTTGCAAAAACACCTGGATGTAAAATGAATTAATCAAAGAAAATAATACAAAAATCTACAATTTGATAAACTTATGTCACTGGGTGAGAAAATTGATCAGCCTGACCGAGTTTTGAACCCACAACTATTGGAATACCGTACAACGGCTCTACCGACTGAGCTATTAATCCCTCCTACACACGTTTTTATTATAAAATTTGTTAACAGTTTAAAACCTTGTCACAAGAAATGAAAAGTATATAAAAATAGTATTTTAGAGTACTATGTTATTTCCCTATTCACTGATCGGTCGAGTATTGTTTTTCTGTTCCATTTATTCCAATGTACCAGAGTTTTCATGTTCGTTTTTTCTGTTTATTTGTTTCTTTATTTGTGTTACTGGTTCGATGTCGCGATTTGAGAAATTTTTAAACCGCATGCTTATGATAGCCTCTGGGAAACCCTCAAGGTATCTTGTGTATATATGAGTTGATGCGTTTTCAAAATCATGCATATATTCTGAGGGTGCAGAAAAACCGTAATGACGTTTCTTTGGTACTTTTGTGCCGATTTTGATTGAATCACCACAGCTCTATCGGAGGTCGACTGTTACATTAAATTATATGGAGAACTTTCCTTTTTGAGAATCAACTCTGGAATTAAGTTGATAACTTTGTCATCTTGGTGCAGTTGTCGTATTTGAAAATTTTGTTTAAAGCTAAGACTTTCAATAGCGACACTGCCTGATATATCAAGGCTTAGGGATTCATGAGTTCCAACTTTCCCATTGGCTCTAAAACCTATCCGTCTATTATGCCCTTGGATATTGACTTGACTTGTACAATTCTATTCCTATCATAAGAGTGAAAAATATTTGGTGCGCGACACTCTTCATCATACGCGGAATACAGAGACTTTTTCTTTTTCTCATGTGGACGAAATTTTCCAAGAACTATGTTTTGCTAAACACACATCCCTTACTATGTAGCTATTTGAACTGTACTAGTAATGCTATCATGTATGTATTTTTTCTCATCACTTTCGGAACTATTTACCATTAATGTTTCTGTCTCAGGAATACGCCTTTCACAGGAGTTTGTGCAAACAGCCACACGTTGTATTCTGTTGATGTAACCTGAAATATCTGCATATTCTTCTAATGAAAAGTACCCCTTCCTACTTACACTTCTAAGTAATGATTCACTTGTCATAGTTTGTATCCGTACTCGATAAAAACACTCGCCAATAAATTTACGGACTTTCATGCCATTAACTTCTTCTCCATTTTCTGCAATCTTCTTTCTTGCCCATTTATCAACTGCTTCCAATATCTTTGTTTCATCGGCATACAATGTATCACCCTTTAGAATATACAGCAGGCATTTCTCATTCAGATTCATAAAACTTTCAGATTCGAGGACTTCCAATGTATGGTTGTCGATAAAAGAACAGCAGGTGTCTCTCAGTGCAGTGAGGTCGTACAACATCGCGTTACTGAGAACATCACATGCGTTGTCCGTTGTAATGACTTTCATCAACAAGTCTGCACAATACTGTACAAAACTGGAAACTTGGTAGAAGTGAGCTGTACGCAAAATGTCAAACGCTGTTTCTGCAGAAAGGTCCATGGTTTCGTTTTATACGTACCTAGAAAAATGTTGAGCTATTAATAACAAATTCTCCGAGTACAAATGATTTTAATGTTTAATTGCTGTGAAAGAGCATTTAACGTAGTTACCTCTTGGAATTCAAAGGACAATTAAAACAAGATTCACTACATATATCAACTATTAAAGAATAGAATAACTTGAATATCACAGCTTATCTACCTTTGTCATAAGTCGAATGTTTCCCTTGTCACGTGTTCCAGTTCCACCTCGTCATTCCTTGTCAGCACATGGACCAAAGAAAATTGCCTGGAACACTAGACTTCTAGCAGCTAAAACAATCTTATGTGCTTTAATTGTAGCCACCTCAGGGTGATCTTTGTAGTGGAAAGTCACATCAGTCCAAAGACTTAAGTTAGACATTTCTAACATACATGCTGCAAGACCTTCGGTCTCGCGAGATATCAATATTTCACCGCTGCTCGTAGAAAAATACATAGCCTCAGAAATCTACTACAACATAAAATTCCGTATTTATCCAAATGTGTACTTGTATTCGCAGAAAAATTAACAGATGTGTGTGTAACTAAAAGTTATGTACGTAGCAAATTTTTACAAGCTATTCAATAGATATGAAGTCAGTTAAAAAGCGTATAACTTGTAACTGAATGTTGTCATTGAAATAATTTCAATGCTTTAGTGTCAACGGTAAATATTTCTTATTTTACAAATTACTTTTATTCATAAGCACAAAGTGTGACGTTAACAATAGATACAAGTCTTACATAAGTTTAAATCTAAACAGTATTCTAATTGCAATGCTAAATCAATAAAAATACGCGATTTTTTAAATCTAAATTTCAACTTTTTTTTACAAATCTTAGGCGAATAAAGCTACCCTTTGAATTATTAAAAAACAATAACATATCAACTGTGATATAAACTATACTGTAATGTTGATTCCATAACCTTTTGGTTGATTCTCAAAAGAGTTGTAACATAGAATATCTCTGTGATTTAATACACACGAAATTTGTATGTAAACAAAATAATATTCTGCTATTGTAACTTTAGTTTCATCCTTTTAGATTTGGGTGTTACTGCAGTATGCTTTAATAAGTAAAGTTGGAATGTCATAATCTGGTGTGGAATTTCTTTTTTAAAATTTGTCTTCTGATTAGTGTCAATTAGAAATAAAAATTAGATACATGTTATGTGGTGAAATCGTTTCACACTTATGACATTCTCTGTGTGTTTTCATGCTAACAAATACATATGAACTAAACTTTTTATTTAATAACATATTAGAGTGCATGTATAATGTTATGTATTTGAATTAATTGATGGGTAATCGCCCCGAAAATCCAGAACATTGAATCCAGTGAAAATTTCTTCAAAATTAATTATTCAGTGAAAATGGTTAAAAATCTGGCTCACAATCAATTGATTGCTTCTTGATTGAATATCGATTTTTCTGTAATTCGTAGTCAAAAAACTGCAGTGCTTTTCATTTTTAGGTCATTTTGCATACTGGTTAATAAAGATAATTATTCTGGAAAAAATAGGATTGCCATCAATGGAGTCCCAAATGCGATTTTGTGAACAGTAAAAATATATTTTTTTCATAATGTTACAATTGATTCTCGAAAGAGTTGTTACATACCAAGTATCTGTTGTTTAACACACATTCATATTGCACTTAAACAGAATTATAAGTTTCAGAACAAAATATTTTTCAAAATTATTATTTGTAAAAACTACAGATATAAAGTAGGGATTAAATGGCTTGGCGATTATGTTAAAACGTGCCATTGGCTTTTAATGAAATTTACTAAGATAATTATTTCCTTCATACAGACATTTCTTCAAATTTCAAAAAGGGCTTTTGGGATATATAAGCTTCCTACAGTTTAAATTGTGTTTAAGTGTAGATTATGGGTGTTTCTTCTCATGCCCAAATTAATGTATGGAGGGGCACTCAAAGTCTTCCTCCACTACTAAAGCTGTAAAGTGACCATATGACCTTTACAGTGTTGTTGCAGTTTAACCCCACCAGAACTCGTTTAAAGCTTGTCTTTATTTGATTTAACTTTGGTCAGATATTTTATATATGTATATCTTTTTCATGAAAAACTTATTTATATTTGATAGCAAGGCATGTATCATTATTTGTGTTAATATTCTTTTATGTGCAAAATAAATTATTATTGAAAATATATTTCTTTAGATATTTTTATGTGTATTTTTCCTTAGTCTTAGAAAGATATTCATAATAATGCGGCACAATTCTATTGATGAATACTATTGATAAATACTTTTGATGAATTTTACAAGATTCGAGTACATGCTGAATCATTAAGAAATTGTGGGTCATATTAATTCAGATTAAAGTCGAGGTTAGTTTTGTTTTGTGAAACTAAAATGCCCAGAGCTTAGAAATTTGGCATTAAGCATTGCTCTGTGGACATACCTGTTAATGAATCATGTCCCCTGGGTCAATATTTGCCATGCCTCAGGATTCTCTTAATTTGTACAGACTGTATATAGGAATGCACTTAATAAGATAAGCGTTATTGTGTCAAACTACATTGCCCAGATATTTGGCATGTGGCATTGCCATGTGGACCTCTATAATATTGATAGTAATAACGCTCGTGGGTCAATATTGGCCCAATCCCGCGAGTTGCTAAATTCATATAGAAATATAAAGGTAAACGCATTGAGTTTTATTGTGTGAAACTATAAAACCCAGAGCTTAGATATTTATCATGTAGCATTGTCATGGGACCTCCACACAACTTATTTGAGTCTTGCTCCTAGAGTCAATATTTTCGTTCCATAAGGATCATATAATTTATATAGGCATATATAGGAAAAATTAAGTTATATTGTGTATAATTACAATGCACAGATCTAAGATATTTGACATGTATTATTGCCGTTTAGACATCTTCAAAACTGAAACAAATTATGATCTTTGGGTAAATATTGGCCAGTCCCTGTGGGTAACTTGATTCATATTGACTTACATTGAAAAATAATTGAAGTCATATTGTGTGAATGTGCAATGAGGGCTGTGGACCTTTAAGAAATTGATATTAATCAAGGCCCTGTGTTGATGATAGACTAATATAATAACATAGGATACCACAAAATCTCAAAATAATTTACCATGTAGACATTCGGCACACTTGTCTAGCCAATAATGGTAAAATTATTATAAGATAATCTCCCCTAGATTATTAAGAACAAAATTACTATTCAGCACCCGTTTACTATTTGAGTAATTTTGCTTTATGATCTTTGATAAGAATATGTTTGCAACCAAAATTGCTGGAAGTACAAGTTTGCAACAAAAATGCTGTTTAACAAGATATTTTTGTGTATTGGTCTTGTTTATTAAACAGTTATAACAATGGTGCTTGAAATTCTATCAATAATGACTCTAAAGGTCCAATTTCCTATACATAATTTTTTTTATATAAAAAAGGTATTGATTTTTGTTATTGGACTTTAGAGCGATTATTGATAGAATTTCAAGCTCCTGTGGTTATACAGCACTGATAGAAAAATATTTTTATATTGTCTGGGTTGATGAACTTCAAATCTTAAAGAATTGAATAAATGAGTAAAAAACCGACAAGAAAAATCACCTGTCAAATCTCAAAATATGTACATGACCAATTTGTATCTTCAATAACTTCTCAGGAGCTGAGCATCTCCATAAGGAATTGGCATATTAAAAAAAATTCATAATAACATTCAAACCCGCTTACGTGCGGGCGTTATAAGTATTTATGACTAGCAAAAAAAAAAAAAAAAAAACAACCAAAAAAAAAAAACAAAAAAACAACAACAACAACAAAAACAACCACTTTATCATTGAATACTAAATGATGTTTCGGGCACACATTTTATAATACACATTTCTATATTTTCCGACATGCAAAAGTTTGAGATACTTACGTTTTTACTGGACCTTTCACTTCATAATAATTTAAGTTAACTTAATACATTACCGATAATAACGTTAACTAGGCCGATACGAAAGTAAATACTTTAATGAATGATGGATGTTGCATAAATAATCAGGCGGGGAAAATGTCTTTAAATATTTCCTGAAAGTTTGGGCAAAATATCATGTTATTTTTGCAAAATAAATAAAAAAGTGGTAAACATGTGTTTACAGGGCAGGAAAAATATGTAGCCTGTCCGTACCACGGATTTACCGACTGAGCTATTAATCCGCTTACACACTTTTTTAAGTAATAGAAAGAGCATCGAAACACGAGGCTATCTGATTTGTACTAGGAGGCATAGCCCCACGAGTATTCATCGGATTACCGAGTGTTTTGTACCATTGTCAAACATAAAGAGACGGTCACTGTTGTCACAATATGAAACCTCAGAAATAAGTAACCAATGAACGAGCATTTGAATATGATATTGCTATCGCTTTCCCATTCTCTGCCGTCACAATAAGTAAACCCCAGCAAAAAACGAGCCAATCAATGGGCATGCTCTGGAGTGCGGGTAACTAATACCTGCACTCAAGTTAAAGCACGCTTTTACTCTAACGCACTTTCAACAAAAAGGTCCTCAAACTATGATACAAATAAAAATAGTGAACAGTTTAATTCTGTGAAATTAGAAATGAAAATTTATTTTAGGATAATATGTTATTTCTTTTGATCTGACCGGTCAACTTTTGTCTTTCTGTTGTCTTTCTGATTCCACCTACGACTTTTTGGAACAGATTCCATGTACTTTTTGTGTTCCACTTTTCAGAGGAAGGACAGGTTTAATATCGCGATTTGAAAAAAATTTAAACTGCATGCTTTTTATTGCCCCTTGGAAACCATTAACGTATCTTGTGTGTATTTCACGTGAGTGTGCAGAAAAACCGCAATAGTTTTTTTTGGGTACTGCGCCAATTTTGATTGCACCACCACAGGTATATCGAAGGACAACTGTTAATTTGTACGGAGAACTTGCTTTTTTGAGTATTAATTCTGGAATTATTTTAATAACGTTGTTGTCTTGGTGTTGCATTTTAAAATCTTGTTTAAAGCTAAGACTTTCAATAGTGACACTACCTGATATATCTAGGTTTAGGTATTCAGGGAGTTCCAACTCTTCAATTGGCTTTAAAACGTATCCTTTTACTTCATTCCATATTGACTCGACTTGTACAATCAATTTATTACGAGACATTTCTTTATCTTTTTTAGTTATACTTTGAATTTGTTTATGATACTCATTTTCAAACGGGGAATACAGAGACTTTTTCAATGTTTCATACGGACACAATTTTCCAATAACAATTTTTGATAAACACACATCTCGTCCTACAACTATTTGAACTGTACTTGAAATGCTATCATGTACTGTGTATTTGTTCTCTCCACTTGCCAAACTATTTTCTTCACCTTTACAATAACCTAACATTTCTTGGACTGTCTCGGTCTCCGAAATACGCCCAACACTGGAGTTTGTAGAAACGGATATACCCGATATTCTATTGATGTAACCTGAAATATCGGCATATTCTTCTACTGAAAAATATCCTCTTCTACTCACACTTCTTAGTAATGATTCACTTGTCATAGTTGGTATCCGTACTTGATAAAAACACTCGCCGAGATATTTACGGACATTCGTGCCGTTAACTTCTTCTCCATTTTCTGCAATCTTCTTTCTTGCCCATTTATCAACTGCTTCCAATATCTTTGTTTCATCTGCATACAATGTATCACCTTTTAGAATATACAGCAGGCATTTCTCATTCAGATTCATAAAGCTGTCAGATTTAAGGACTTCCAATGCATGGTTGTCGATAAAAGAACAGCAGGTGTCTCTCAGTGCAGTGAGGTCGTACAACATCGCGTTACTGAGAACATCACATGCGTTATCCGTTGTAATGACATTCATCAAAAAGACTGCACAAAACTGTACAAGACTGGAAACTTGGTAGCAGTGAGCTGTACGCAAAATTTCAAACACTGTTTCTGTAGAAAGGTCCACAGTATCACTGTATACGTACCTAGAGAAAATGTAGAATGATTAACAACATATTCGGTAGGAAAAAATGATTTTAATGTTTAATTGTTGTGAAAGAGCATTAATGTAGACACCATTTAGATTTAAAAGGACATTTAAAAAAAGTTTCACTAAATATATAAACTTGTAAAAATAGAGTTATTTTAATATCACAGGTTATTTACCTAAGGAATAAGTCGAATGTTTCCCTTGTTACGTGTTCCAGTTCCACCTGGTCATTCTTGTCAGCACATGGACCAAAGAACATTGCCTGAAACACTTGACTTCTAGCAGCTAAAACTGTCTTGTGCGCTTTGATTGTAGCCACCTCAGCGTGATCTTTGAAACGAAAAATCACATCAGTCCAAAGACTTTGGTTATACATTTCTAACAAACATGCTCCCAGACCTTTGTTCTGTTGACAGCCGACGGTATACGTCTGTAGGGCGTCTGTAGAGCGTTGTAGAACGTGAACAGCGTCATCTGACTCCATCCTGAATAGATCTTCTACCAATTATTGTATCCAAAAGAGTACCTGTATGCGAGAGCAATTAATATATTTATTTAATATAACAAATTTAATAAAATTTCTACAAAACTATTCAATGGATATAAAGTCATTTTTAATACGTATAACTTTAAACACACTGAATGTCGTCACTGAAATAATATCAGCGCTCTAGTGACAACCGTAACAAAACATATCTAATATTACAAATAACTTTTATTCATAATCACGAAGTGTGAAATTAACAATAAATACAAATCTTTCACAAGTATGATTTTTTAAACTGTTACGGTCAGGGCTGGGAATCAAAACTGCGTCGTATCCTACAAAATGTAAACAAACGCCGCCATCTTGGAACGAAAAACGTATGTTTTTGTTTATAACTCTTTTTGTTGGAAATGACTGAAAACAAGATATATGTATTAACACGCTACACTATTTTCCGCTTCGTTCGGTATATGTTGCTTGCACAACTATTCTGTAAAACAAAAGTTATAGCGAACTTGCAACTCGAAGCGGGGCAGAATTTTTATGAAAATGTGTGGATACGACGCAGTTCATATTGCTTTATCTATCGTTTTTTCCTTCAAATCAATTATATATTTGTTTCAGAGTTCACCATAAACTTCGAAATATAATTTTGCATCATTTACTAAAATTTCATTAAAAAAAGATGTTTTTTTTCTAAGAAAATAATGATTTTTACGAAATGATACGACGCAGTTGAAAATAAAATATGATACGACGCAGTTGTATTTTTGGCAGTCTTTTCAACAGGGATAATTTTGGCAATATATTTCTATTTTATGGAATAATCACTTGCGCTAGATAAAAATCCCAGATCATTTGCGGTGTATAGCAATGTTCTGTTGCTTTTGATTATTTAGAATACAATGTGTCATGTCCAATATAACATTTAATTTGAAAGTTATCATTGCGGAAGCTACTTTTCAGTTAAACATGAACATGTTACCTTATTGATCATAATATCTGAAATAATTTCTTATATTTTCCTGTATGTTCAATATTATCCCTATTTTTTTTTCGCAAAAAAATGTAGAAATCTATTAACTTGAATTCATTTTGGCTAGCTGCGCTCTAAGTTAACTGTGGTTCTGCATGTTCTGGGTTTGACTGCTTTTTTTGTGGTTTCTTTTCAAACTTTCACTCTACGCATTAGCTTTACTAGGGGCGAGGACCTCAGGTGCGCCTTTGTGCATTATTTCAGGCAAAATGTTGTACCTGCAGAGAACCATCGACATTTTGAAACTAGCTTGATAGATTTTCCACACGAAAGAATAAAAAGTCCCTGGTGGTTTTCGAATTCATAGCAGTTGAGTTCAAGTGATTTAAATTCTGTAAACATAAACAGCTCGGCCTCGGTCGGACACACCTGTCTGATTTGGTTTTTTTAACAAAATTTGTTAAAGGGATACACAGGCAAAATTTTCATCTCTTAGTTTTGAATTTTTCATTCATTATTCTATTAATGCCCTCAAAATGAATATATTAGACAGTCAAAGAAACAAAACTTTTTCCATATAAAGAATAAAATGGTGGTTTCCTAACTTGACCCGCGTGGGTCAGGTTAGAGCGCTATGATTTCGCAATATTTGCCAAAGTGAACTCTGGAAACGTTAAAGAACATTTCAAATGAATGACATAGACTTGTTTCAATCATACAATATCCAAAATATCTGTTTTTGTAATTTAAAGGATTGGCTGAAGTTACCTGACTTGTTTTAAAACTATTTTTTAATTCTATTGGAGTCTAAATCTTGTTAAACATGTATAGATATATTTACGTTTCAAACCCAAAATGTATAAAATTCAAACAGACATTCATGCTGAAACTTCAAGAAACGTCGTTTTAGCCTGTTTTCAGTACATAAGATCATTTTAATATTTTTGTCATTATTTTGCCTGAATATCCCTTTAACGTCAGCTGTACAAATAAACAGCTTTTTTTATTAACTTCTGGCGTGAAGTTTTAAGATTATAAATATTTGAATTAATTATAAAGGGAATAAAATTTAAATTTCTTATTTCGGTATGACTAGCAGAGAAATTTGAACATTGTAAACAGGGGGTAATCCTCTGTGAAGTCATTTTCTGAAAACTTTTGTTTAAGTCTTCAGGCAATTCATTATCAAATAAAAATCACACTTAGTTAAGATGTCATATGTCTCTAGTCTGTTGAAAATTCGATACGATAATCTGACCTAAATTTTCTGTTCAATATTGTGAAAACTTAATCATTCTTCAATACTGTTGAAAGATAATGTCTGCCTATATCTGTATCAAATTCATCGGTGCATAGCGTAAAATACCTTTGCAAAACGGATACCTTTTTTACAAAATAATTTGTAGTTGTATCATATGTAACTCGATTTTGAAAATTTAAAGTTTTTTGATGGAGAAGAATGATACTTAAGTGCAAATATAGAAAATACATTCCCATTGGCGATAAAGAAACGCAATACGACAAAATCGGGGGTAAAGTTCCGCGGCGCTGAACATAAAATGACTAAACGGAACGCATAACCTACTTGCAAAAATATATTGTAGCTTAACCATTTATAATATAATTTTAAAACTTTAATGTTCAGTTTCAAATAATAAAGCTCATCTGTTCTCATCGATAATTAAGAAAATGAATACAATAAAATCGTCACGTAAAAGACATAAGTAATAACGGAATTGACGGAAATTATTGCTAATTACAAGTAATAAAGGTAGGCATTCCCGATAGCGAGAGACATTTTCAAAATTTATAATTCTTTCTTTTTTTTTTTTTTTTTTTTTTTCTTTTTTTTTTAAAGGTCATTCCTGATCAATACAGGGTCCAGGAGAGGTTACACTGGAATATTGAATTTTGTATCAAAAATAGTAATCACTCCCATTTCGAACTCATGGGAACAAGTTTATAAGCATGCTAAGGCAACACTAGAACACATTGTCATATGGGTGTGCGATCACGTGTTTCAATGTATATTGCATTTGATACAGCTTTTCGGAATTTGTAGATGCTTATGATTAGTACTAAAATGCGACCGAAAAATGCAGCCTTAATAGAATTGTATTACATTTCCATTTTTTTTTAAACCAATGAGTGACCTCTGCTTTTGACTTAAGTTGTAAACAAGAAATGTTGTTGGACGTTATTAGCATACCTAGCACATAATTTAAATAGTTTAACCAATATTCAGTCTGAAATGAAAATACAACTGCGTCGTATCATATTTTATTTTCAACTGCGTCGTATCATTTCGTAAAAATCATTATTTTCTTGGAAAATAAACATCTCTTTTAAATGAAAGTTTAGTAAATGATGCAAAATTATGTTTTGAAGTTTATGGTGAACTCTGAAAACGAGTATATAATTGATTTGAAGGAATAAACGATAGATAAAGCAATATGAACTGCGTCGTATCCACACATTTTCATAAAAATTCTGCCCCGCTTCAAGTTACAAGTTCGCTATAACTTTTGTTTTACAAAATAGTTGTGCAAGCAACATATACCGAACGAAGCGGAAAATAGTGTAGCGTGTTAATACATATATCTCGTTTTCAGTCATTTCCAACAAAAAGAGTTATAAACAAAAACATACGTTTTTCGCTCCAAGATGGCGGCGTTTGTTTACATTTTGTAGGATACGACGCAGTTTTGATTCCCAGCCCTGACGGTATCAAAAATAATACTCTAATCGCAATGCTAAATCAATAAAATGACACAATTTTTTTATCAAAATATTAACATATTTTACTAACATGGTTTACAGAATCTAAGGAGAATTAATATATATTGTTAAATTAAAGAAAAATCAGCAGTAATATTAACTATTATTATTGGCGTCCGCGCCGAAGCGCGGCGCTCTTATGGAATGAGATCAGATTTTGTGAAAGGGCGACAGCAACTTCTCGAGCCTTTTAGTCGGTCATAATAAAAGCCGAAAATTCCGATCGGTATGAGGGTGCTTGATTATTAAATAAGAATGAAATGTCGCGATATGTTACAATGAATTTTCGCAATGCAAACATTTACAAATGAAATAACCTTTTCCGTCAATAAATCGCGCTCTTCGGGGTTTTTTATTTATCATTTTGTAGTACACAGTCGGTTATCATGTCATGGTATGTTATTGTTGTACATGTATCCTAGAATGATCAGTTGATGACCTAAATATTCCAAAAACCTATTTATAGATATTATATGTTATTTTGGTTTAGGAGTGATATATGTGGATATATTACCTGTTAAGATTTTATATCACCCGAGCCGTTAGGCGAGGGTGATATTTTATCTTGGCAGGTAATATTTCCACATATATCACTCCAAAACCAAAATAATAATTTTATTACCCTTCCCCTGCCGAGTTTAGACGATTTTTTTAAAATCATTGCTGTTTCAAATGAAACGTCGAAATAAGATTCCCTTTAAGGGTACCTCTTCATCACAACATGACGTCACATAAATACATGACGTATTTTTCCCGTACCTACCGAATGTAAACAAGAGAAAAGGAGTAGTCTATTGAAAGCATTTTTTTGTAATTAATATCAAGCTTTCACAAGGTCATATTTGTTTTCTATACTGATGGGAATTTGTATCATTACTCTATTTTGGTAAATATTTATCATTTGACAGTTAAAAAGTGCTTGTAAATCGGAATTTACACCGCGTAAAATCGAACCGTACGCGCATCACCTCAGCGCATGTCGTTTACAACGTTGGGTACCCAACGGGGAAATTTAGTGTGTATATTACCCGTCTGGCTCGGTTATATCAATTTCTTTCGGGTGATCAATATCCAATCAAAAGGGCGGAAAAAATCTGGCAGGGTAATAAATCTTTTTATCACTCCTATCGGTAAATGCCGGTCTCTCCCGGTCTATTTTGACCAGGATTTACTAGTGACCGGCGAATAGTACCACACGTTTATTGTCCGGTCTCTCCCGATTTTGGAGTAGATGTTTGATATCGTTACAATTGGAAAAAAACAACAATAGCATGTTTCATTTTATCTATATGAGATAAAAACAATAAATATGTACACGGATTTATATGTAATATAAATCCGTGATATGTACAATAATTGAGAAAAAAGGTACATTTTTTATGGTATTAAAATGACATTATCAACTTTGAAACA